GACAGGCGACACGAGAATGTTCCGAAATTGCGACATAGCTGGCTGTGAAAATCAGACGGGGGACATGAGCACCCCCCCTAACAGGGCCTCATTATTACACTCTTGTTCATCCTAAAAATGCTTTAGAAAATTGTATCACAACTGTATCTCAAGTTTGTCATAGTATAAACCATTGAAGACAATAACGGTAAATATATTTAATACAGTCTAGCGATCTTTTTTCAGGGGAGCAAAGGAATTGAAGGAGGAGGGGGGGGGGCTCTGAAATCTTTTCGACTACCAAGGAGGGGGCTCCTAAAAAATTGAACCGCTAGTGAGGGGGCTGCTAAAATTTCAAGCTTCGAGTTTCAATATCTTCATCCCCCCTTGTCATATTAAATGAACTTTCCCTTACCCTAAAAAGGTCACCTAGAATTTTCGGGAGCCTTTTTTCTGGCTGAAACTTTTGAAAAGGAAAGTTTTGATCCCTATAATTTTCGGATCATTAGACTTTCAGCAAGGAAATCCGAACAGCTGAAAAATTTTTAGGGAATAAAAATATGCCTATATTTAAATACTAAAATACATTTTAAAATGCTATGTTTAAGTGGTTTTGAACTATATATTCTCGTTGGGTGCCCCTGAACTTCCGCTTATAAGCCCCCTAGTTATAGTTCCATCTATCAGTTTTAAAAAAATGCATCCGGTTATCAACAACCCCTCCCCACCTCCTCCCCTCTAGCTTGTATTGAAATGAATTCGATTTTTTCCGACGTTTTGAAGCTTAAAAAAGGGACTTTGATCAGCACTTCTATGCAGCTTGTTTGAAACGCTTCCGTTACCAAGTTGAATTAGCCCACCGGCTTGTGAGCGGAAGTTTACGGTAGGGTAATTTTAAAAAAGCAGAATTTCAATTTGTATTTTCAGTGGAACCCCGCCTTACGGCCACCTCGGTAAAAAAAATACGGTCACCTCGTTATTACGACCACTTTGTTTCGGCCCGGCAAAACGGCCATACATTTCCTTATAACTAGCCCTTATTATTGTAAACTATTTCTCATTTTCACTTCCTTGCACGCCTTCCTGACAATAACAGTAGTAACTGTTCTAAGAACAGTTCAGATTGCTAAAAGTCGTTTCAGTTGTCAAAGTTGCTTCAAGGTTCTCAAAGATCACCACGACGGGAGAGGGAGGGAAGCGAAAGGGACCGCGAACGACCTAGGACGTCTGAGAATCAGGCTACAGGAGATAACGGGCTTGTTGATCGAGTTTCAGTTTGTGTCGATTCGATCGTGCAATGTGTTTGTTTGTCTGCCCTTTGTGTCGATCACCGCTCTCATGCAATGTGTTTGTTTGTAAAACAAATTGGATTTAATATATTTATGTCTTTTTATGTCAACAACTGACCTTTGCCTCCACAACCGGAAGAGACAAGCGATGATTAGGGGGCGACCATACACATGTTAAGGGGATTGAAACATGGGACAGACGGTTGATTTCTTCAAACACGCACTGTTTTTGTTTTTATCCAAATTAGACTGTGAAGTATATATGAAATAATTCATTTGTGAACTGCGGTTGTAGATGAAAGTGAAGAATGATCATCGCGGTAAATTTTCCAATTTAAGCATTTGCTTAAAATTGGAAAATTTACTGCCATGATCATTCTTCACTTTCACCAAATTAGACTGATACCGTATTCCATGCATATATGCATTTTAAGACTCTAATACTTCTATTCAAATCTTTCCATGAATTTTTCTGACACAACAATACATTCAGTTCAGCAGCTTCTTTTTTTTTTTTTGGAACAATCCCCCACCCCACACCCCACGTAAAGATACAGTTATTTGTGTAAATGCCATATGCAATCATAAATTAACCTGCACTAACGTGACACCAAAAAGTAAGAAGAAACGGAGGGCATTTTAGTCCTCATGCGCTTAGCTGCGCATGAGTAAAAATTAAAATGCCTGTGAAATGCATGTCAATTTTATTGACCGAGTACTCTGAGCCTGTTCTTGTCAGCGGTACTGTTTTTAGACTACATTACACATAAAGCTCAGTTGTTGGGATTTTATAGCCAAATGTCAATTAAAACTGTTTTATGTACTGAAGGGAAATTTGAAGTTTTTTTCGTGTGTACGCGATATCTACATTCCGGTTGTTTATTGAGGAGAACAGTTGTTCAAGGTATGCGAATGTGCTGTAAGCCCGGGGTGGTACTTTAGGAATTTCTGGGTGGGGATGTGCCGCTGGGACCCTGGAACCCTTAACCTATACCAGACCTAGTTCAGCTGAATTTTGCTACCCTATACCAGAGTAAACTCCCCAAATCCCCCTATCCTAGAGTAGCTGTTTCCCTAGTCTAGATAAAATCTTCAACCAACTGATTAGTTTCCTGAAAAATAATACCCTATTCTAGACCCAAACGCTCTGATTTATATACCCTATCCTAGAGTAAACTGCTTGAAAACCATACCCTTCACAGCGGCACATACCTATATAGCCCATATATGGCAGTGCCCCCCCCGGGGTTCAAGGTATGCGAATGTGCTGTAAGGTGTATTTGTCATTGTGACCCACAAGTCATGAAATTTGAGCCTGCCCCGATAATACGGCGAGTGTTCAGAGTAGAGGGTAACAATTTGTCCCAATTTTTTAAAAAAAATAAGGCACGAACCGCACGGGGATAGAAGGATACGCAGACATCGCTGTAAAAGTTAGGGAGCGGAGGTAGGAGGTGGAATAGGGGACTGGTTGAGCCTGATAGAAGACCAAAGTACTTCGATTTTTAGTTTGGAAAAGGTAACGTGTGGTCTGCTGTCTTTTATTAATTATTATTTTTCCCTTTAGTAAGGGACTTCTGCAACTACTAGCGAACCAGGCAAATAGGCAAATTGTAGACATGTTTGGGCTAGCTGACCGTGAGAACTTAATAAGAAAAGAAGATACTTACTACCAAGAAACAACTAACCCACAGGATTGTCTGATGATAAGTACCAATCACGGGGGGGTACCTGGGTTAATTTTTGCTGGGTTTGTGTGCCGCTGGCCTCTCAGAGCCCCTTCCCTAGTATAGTCTATTCTGTGGCCAAATATAGACCCATCTTAGTCACTTTAATTTGGGAAGATGTAATTTTCGCTATCCAAACTTAGTAGCTTCTGTTTAAGCATCTATAAGAGTGCTATAATGGCCTATACGTACAGTAGGGAACCCCTTCCCCGTTTCTTGGACCCGTTTCCGGAATGGATCCATCGGGTGACTCGTAGGTCCCCACTATTAAAAGTGGGAAGTGCTTTCTCTAGAACCGGTACTTGCTACCAAGAACGAGAAGTCCGAAGACTTTACTACAGCAAAGCTGATTTAAAACAACGTGTATTGTTTTTTATAACAATATTTCGGCTGGCCATACCAGCCCTCTTCAGGTTTACAGATGTTACTGAACTTATGTACCAATCACAATATCATATAGATGGAGAATGTCGCAATAAAAGGGAGAGGCGGAAATGACGTACAACATAAAAACTGGATAGGAAAAATACTAAGGATATGGATTACAATACCGGTAATCCGTCTCGGCGGTTTAGGCCATGAGGTTCAAGAGTCATGGCCTTTCTATCAAATGCGACTCCCTGGCCTTACGAACTGAGTCACGTGAAGAATGAATTTTTTCTAGTGGGATTAACTACATGTCAGTATGAGAATAGTTAGAGTGAGAGAGAAAGTGTTCAGAAACAGTAGTGGGTTTAGATTTAATGTTAGTTTTGTCGACTGCACGTCTGCGTTCGTTAAATCTGTCCTTGAGACGTCGCTTAGTTTCACCTAAATACTGTAAATTACAACGGTTACATTGAACCATGTAGATAACATTTTTAGTGTTACAAGTAATTTGTGAAGTGATGGAGCGTGTTTCACCTGTAGCGTAAAAGGTATAACTTGTTAGGCCGTTAGTAATGTATGGACAAGTGGCACAATTCTGTCCACAGCGGAAGGAGCCCGGCGGAGAATGATGGGTGGAGATAACGGGTAATTGTGCTTTAACTAAAAGGTCACGAAGATTAGAGCTACGTCTGTAAGCAACAAAAGGCGGTTGCTTAAAGACGTCTTTGCAACGGTTAGAGGAGTGTACTAGATGTTAAAATGTTTGCGTAGGATATTAGAGATGCGTGGAAGTGCTGGGTTATATGTGACAACAAATGGTACAACATCGTTAGAAGCTTTGGGTGTAGTTTGTAACGCGTTAGTACGAGAAATTGTAGCAGCGCGTAGGAACTGTTTTTCTAGGAAATTATTATTATAACCACGAGCAAGGAGATATGTTTTAAGTTCATTAATGCGATGTTTAAACTTAGCGTCTGTAGAGCAGATACGGCGGACGCGGAGGGCTACGCTGAACGGAATGGCTTTCTTAGTGTGGTGAGGATGGCATGATGAGCTGAGAAGGTGCTGATGTTTATCCGTGGGTTTAGTAAATAGATCAGTTTCAATTATACCGTTATGTAGAGACACCATGACGTCGAGAAAAGGAACGTTAGTAAGTGAGTGAGAACTAGTGAACTTAATAGTGGGATGAATGTTATTGAGATAATCGACGAATATTTTCAAACGATCTGAACCTTCTGTCCAGATCATGAAAATATCATCGATATATCTCCACCATGTGTGAGGCTGCCATGCCGTTTTTTCTCCCCATGTTGTTTAGCTTGCGAGCAAGCTCTCCTATTTGGGCGAGTAAAGCGAGTCTCGCGAGAACGCGAGAGCGAGCGGCGAAGGCGTTCTCTCGAGGCTCACTTCGCTTTTGCCTGCGTGCAGACGTCTCCTATTTCCTTTGTTGCACGCGGAAAAGGGACCTTTTCTGCGTGCAACAAAGGAAATAGGAGACGTCTGCACGCAGGCAAACTTCGCTTGAGCTTGAAGTGTAAAGGAGCCTCAGCTGTAACCTCAGCTTAAAACCTCAGCTGGCAGCTGGAGACCTGGGTGAAAGTTGACAAATTCTGAAAGAGAAGGACTGGTACTCACTGTCAAGATGGCGGCGGGCCGAAAGAGTTGCAACGTACGTTAAAAAGTACACTGTGTAGCGGCTTTTGGAAGTCATTAAACCTTCCAGATTACATACTGAACGACTTTTATAGTGGTACTCGGTAGCACATTTGCTGAGCAACATCATAAATTGCACTTGACATCATATTCAGTGGCAAGAGTTACGTAGACTTGACGTTCACGGTTCATAAGCTTGTCAACACGTGCAAGGTTGTTTGATTATGTGAGTTGTTCTGAGGAAGAATGAGTAAGAATACAGCGGGAAAGAGGACTGCTGTTCCTACAGTTGAGCAGATTAGCTCAGATCGAATCACTCAGGTAATGTATTACTTTTTAAGGTGTAACGTACAATGCTTAAATTATTGTTTTTAAATACTTTAGCAGTAAAGCAACTCAAGCTTACTTATTCTGTCAAAGAGTCAACGTATTCAGGGCGTCAATCGATCAACCGATGACGATCAGTTAATTTCTGTTCTGTCGATTGGCATCGGCCAATCGATGACCAATTTTTAATCACACAAAAGTTGTCGCGAACTTCATTGATTGCCCTCGATTAGCATACTAACTAAATCTTCAGTCATACGTGCGTCAGTCGCATAGACTTGTTGGAGAATACGTTTCTTTGTCCAGGTACTCTGGTTTTCCCCTCTCCTAAAAAACCAACACTTCTAAAATTCCAAATCGGTCTGGAATACATGGACACATTTAAACAATTAGTTCTAGGGCTGTCAACCCCACAAGACAGTCTTCAAATAATATTATTGAGAATTGATAGGGAAGGGATGATAGATGATGTCATATCGTACAGTATATGACGTCATTTGTGCAAAAAATACTTGTTGACCCGATCGTCATGAATTTTCGATGTTCCGCATTATTGCGTACATTGCAATCACATAATATACCATACCGAAGTCTATGAGGAAACGTTCAATGTTAACAGTACTGAAAATAGCTCAAACATTGCAAACTATTTAAAAGTTATTGTCAGAAAGTTGAGTCTACAACTGAATGGCAAACTTTGGTGAATATCCAGGAGATTTCGTACTCTAATATGGAGACCGGGAGATACGGTCCAAAATCTGGAGTCTCCTGGATTATCCGGGAGAGTTGACAGTACTGTAGTTCATATAAGAAATCCTAAAGTGCTTCCTGGGTAAACAAATATTACAATTTTTACTGTTAGTATGGGTACTTGAAGCAGAACTTGCTGGTTACATGAACTGTTGATGATGCTGTGGTCCAAATTTATCCAAGGCTGCTGCCTAAAGGGCACCCAGTGGCCAGAGGCTCCTACGATTACCTTTCCTTGTGGGTGACTAAACTTTTAAAGAAGGAGCCTGCAGGGGCGACTAAAACTTATGATTCTTATGGCAATAGCCTCTATGCCTACTTCCAATGAAGGAACAGCAGAATTCCCTGCTCATTTTGCGCTTTTGAAATGAAAATGTCAACCTTGTGTTTGTCGACTGTAGGCAAAACATTTCTGCTGCTAAAAGTAAACAAACAAGCTGTTTTCTGGAAATTCACAACTCGAACGAATTGAGTTTCGAGTATCTGCTTTCTTATTTAAGTTCATCAATCACTGGGCTCCTAGAAAAGTGGCTCGGGCTCCTAACTTTATATTTTTATAGGAGCCTGAAGGGCTCCAAAAAAATTTTCTTGGGCAGCAGCCTTGTTATCCTTGGTTTCAATTTATTTCCTTTGTTTTGGGTATGGTAGTGTATCATAATGAGTTTAAAACAAAGGGAAATAAAATTTAAACCAAGAATAAATTTGAACCAAAACAACTAGTATATAGGTGGTGGAGTCTGGTGGGGGCTTACTTTTGTGTAGTTTTGTAGTTGTGGTACTAACAAGGCAATTTCAATAATTATACATAATTAATTAGTTGATATTTTATATTTAATTTCAATGTTTGTTTTATTATTACATTTGATAGCTTGCAAAGCAGTATTGGACTCCCGGGGAAGGAAAGAAACCCTTCAAACCACAGGTACAAAGCTGCATAGCTACCATGAGAAGTTCCATGAAGCAGTTTTGACTACAGTAGAAGCTCTCTGAATGGATGCTATCATAAGCAGACAGCTCTACTTAAATTACGGCTACCTTTACAAAACCCTGTTTTTCCAATCCCCACACACACTGTATTTTAACATTCCCTTAAGCACCTCAGTTCCAGTTATGGACACCTTTTTCATGTCCTGAGGGTGTCTGCTCACAAGAGCTTCCGCTGTAATATCATTATACCAGGTGTCATGCAATGATCCTTGAAAGTTACTTGAAGGAGTTGAAGGTAACATACTCCTTTGCGTATTTTGATAGCTGGTTATTTACATGTACATGTAAGTTTCAATGTAAATTGACTAAAACAAAGCTTCATGTACATTGTATGAGCTTTTTCTACTTCCCAAAAAAATTAATTCTGCAATCTCCTTGGAACTGCAAAAATTTCATGCCACCTGGCTGCTGATACAAGTATGGCTGTCATAAGAGTCAATGTTCACTTTGCTTGAGTGCATCCTAAAAGACAATAGACTTATCTCTAGAAACGAGATTGAACAATATGGAATCTGTCTAAAAAAATTCATTTTTATAGCAAATACAATTTACACAGGTAGGTTAATCAAATTTTGAATAAAACTGTTTTTTATGGCCTAAACTACAGTTATCTCATGACAGATGATATGATAAACTGTGTACATGTAAACATGCTATCCTTTGCCAGAATATGAACTTGATACACAATGTAGGTACATAGTACATGTACATGTAGGATACACTGTACCTATATGTCAGTTATCAAAATGGTACAGATGTACAGGTCCATCGATTTTGACAGCTGTTGATAATAATTATTGACTCTCTAATTGATATTAAGAAATAAAAATAACATACATATGCACATTTGTATATAACCCCATAAAAGAACAATATTACATTGTACATTTATTGTATCATAAGCATTCTTTCTGTGAATCGAATATTAGAATTTTGACTTTTAGAGTAAAACTTTACATATCTCTTTTTTGTGCAAATTGTACATAATAATAATAATAATAATAATATTTATTTCTGTTTCAGTGGGGCCCTCGAATCTAACTAATTAATTTTGACAAATTTAAAAATTTAAAATCTTAAAATTTATACAAAAAAAAAACATCAAGGTTTAAAATTAGCTGAGATCTTTTAAAAAAGTTTTTAACTTGGATTTAAAAATAGATAAAATATTACACTTAAATCATGTGGAAAAGTCTTTCGCGGGCGTGAAAAATAAAGTTTTTATTTGTTCTGGGTGGGGTTTTCTCATTGAGATTATATGAATGAACAGCTTGACTTTTAGTAAAATTAAAAAAAATGTGTTTCTCTAGATTATTGATGACATTTACAGGAAAGAGATCAAAGGAAGCAAGTAAGATTGAGAAAAAAAAATTGTCATGAGCTTATTTCTGATACTTATCAGACTTACTACATGAGAAAGTGGTTATATACATGATGGTTGTTTCTCACCTACATGTAACAAAAATTAATGCATCTCTCAAAATTATGAAAAGTATATGTACATGTGATACTACTTACAGAAATTATACTTGCAGTTAGTCAAATACGTATGCAAAATCTGTTACAGCAGGACTACTATAAAATAATAATTTCGGACTACCTTGCCAAAGTTGACCAATCGGATCACAGGAAAATAACCATAATACTTGACAAAAAAGTTTGTTTGAGCCAATCAGCTCGAAGCACAAAATCTAACTATTGATAGCAAACAATTCCAAAAACTTTAAATATAACCTCCAGACATCACTTTTATCACAAGCTGTTATGTTATGCTACATTTTGTATGTGTCACCAATTTTTTTGTTAACATTTCCCAGCTTGCAACAGGGTCCGAAATTAACTTTTTAATACGGGCGCCAACTGGCGATCAAGTATAAATTTTTGGTCGCCAGAGGGCAAATTGTGGTCGCCAAAAATTCCCCCTCCCTTTTTTTTCAATAATAGTTTAAACACGAATAAAAAATGTATGGTATGGACGTTTTTGTGCTCGAAAATTGCACTACTTCCGATACCAGAAAACAACCGTACATGTACGAGTGAAGTCTTTTTTTTTCCACAAATTACCTTTTGGAGATATAAAGCTGTCTGACTTAGAACGTAGGAACAGAAAGCTGTCTGCCCATGACTGCACTGATCATATCAAAACTCTATTTTTTTCCGATAACTACCACGAAACACGAAACGTAAACACGAGTCAAGCTTCAAGCCGCCATGTTGCTCGTTCCAGGCCACAACTGTGCCACATCACTCGTACCAGTCCGCAAAGTACATAACGTCCTTACTGTATTTCAGCTGAAAACAACATGACGGCTTGGAAACGTACAACTCGTATTGATCGTAGCTGTTGTGGAGGTATTATTACAGGAAGATTCGTTTCACTTTTAATTAAAAAATATCAGCAGGACAAAAAGTAAGACTCCTGTTGGCAAATATCTTCGAGGTTTCAATTCTTAATCAGTTTCTCCGAACGTTAAAGTCAGTAACACAGTAACAACCTGCTTTACAAGTCGCTAGCTGGCGACCAGCTATGAAATTCTGGTCGCCAGGACTGAATTTTTAGTCGCATTGGTGCCCGGGAAGGTGCAATTTCGGACCCTGTTGTAATAGCGTTTACTTTTTTTTCCTCCCTCAGTCACTCTAACAAACCTCTCAGGAAACATTTTGCTTTTTTCAGCACATTCAAAACGCCATGTCTGACAGTTGTAATTGGTTGATTTGGATCCATGTTGTTTACAGCTGTATTTCAGTTCATAGTAATTTCATGTATGATTGAAGACCAGCTTTCTTGGAATGATTAATTATTATTATGTTGTCCAATTGGTCAACTTTGTCTAAGTGGCCCCGGTTACTAGTCGCACTATAACATACCTGTACATCGTCATGTATTAAATGGTGAATGGAAGTCAAATTTCCATCAAGTGTTGGAATACCCTAATCAGGAAAACAGGGCTACTGACTGTAGCTTTTCAGATGAGTCATCCATTTCACAAACTGGAGGGAAATTCTAAAAAAGTGTGCATGTGATTGTATAATTTTATAATAAATTCCAGTTTCCAGCATTTTTTGTATGACAAAAGAACCATTGAGTGATACCATACCAAATAGCACAGATTTTTTTTTAGTTTTCGTGAGACAATTATTTTAAGTGAATTAGTTAAAACTTGATATTGTGTTTTCTTAGGTTTTCTGTGAAGCGTGTTATGCTGCTAGAATTCAGGTAAAAAGAAAATGAAGACAATACACAGTACATTGATTAACTACTTGTACAAGCTTACGATTTCATATTGATGATGTAAATCACTGTTCACATTACTGTAACTTGTGACCTTTTGTTTTTTGTCTGTTATATGATTATTTATAAACTATATAATTTAATTGAAAGTACATTTAAATTTATTACCATGTCAACCAATCAGAGCAGCAGACCAGATTCTGGATAGATTTAGATAAGTATGGAATTTTTTAGGCCAAAAAGCAGATGTGATTCTCTCATAAGTAGGTTGAGCATGTTCATCTGGGTGAACGTATTAACTCGCTAGACTTACATTAACATAACATGCATTACCCATGGTATACAGTAGTATTACAGTCAAAACTCCATGTGTCACCACCTCTCATAAGAAACCACCTCCTACATGTACATCCGTACATGTACATATATGAGCGACCACCAATCCAAAACACCAAAACGAAAACCTCTTGTAAGCAACTGTCACCACTGTTTGGGCTGATGGTTATTAAGATAGTACATGCGTTCTAATTGGTTAAAAACGTATGTTTTACCTAAAATTATTTTATAAAAGCAATAGACCACACTTTCTATGGGTTTACCGGCTTGACAACCCACTTGGGATGTTGGGACAACACTTGAAAGGCTTGTAAATCACTCTGTTCTCCCAGCTTCCTGCGTCAGTTATTACATTGGTAAACCCATAGAAAGTGTGGTCTATTTCTTAAAAAAACTTTCTATTGTTTTTATCCTCTTGTAAGTGACCACTTGATGCATGGCGTGATCTCTACTAATATGTTCGCTGTTTGTACAACAGTGTATATATGCCACTTAAATTTTAAAGTATACAAAGAACTTTCAATGGCAATATAACACATACTGTCAGAAAGTAATTATCACAACTTATAAAATGAGTGCAATAAATTCTCTTCCAAAAAATAGGTGGCAGGACCCCTTTTTTTCGAAGAGATCACCTTTGGATTCAATCTTGAAAGTGAACATCTCCTTTATGTGACCATTAAATTTTGCAGTTTGAGTGGTCACTTACAGTACACGTAGGAGCAAATGTATTACTTTCTTTGAAAAAAGTGACTCATCTATTTGTCTATTGCTTTTGCAGTCAGTACCTAGAGAACTATCTATGGACCAATTTTGATTCTAGCAAGGTTTGTTGAGGTCTTACAATGTACATTAATGCACATGAGCAACAGACTGGGGAGAACTGGGTAGTAAAATAACATGGACAAGACCTCTTTGTCACAGGCACATTTAATATTATAATAATAATAAATTATAGAGACCTTTAGGTTCTAAGACAAGGATGACAGGTACAAGATGAGATTTTCTCAATACTAAGCAGTGCTTGAGTGTGAACCAGCATCATTTTGGCGGAAAAACGTGATAGCGGTCGTCATTCTACTATGAATTTAGTGAGAATGTCGTAGTGGCAGAAATGAGTTATCAAATGTTAGAAGTTTTATCATTTTGTGATCAGGAGAGGGCTTAACCTCCTTTAATATAGATAACAGTGCTAACTTTTCTAATGAAAAAAAGTACAACGGAGCTTTCTGTGGTGTCCATTTTTTGAGAATACATGACAGGGTGCAAAGAAATTCATTTTTACAGCTTGCCATTCAGGCAAGCTGAAGCTAGAATTTACTAGCCCAGACGTCATTTCAACTAACTCGAAAAGCTTTTTGACAAGCGGAATTGATTTCACAGTTCGTCTGTTATTCGAATTCCTCAAAAAACATCACTTGCCCATGGGGCAAGTTAAAAACAGAATTCACTAGCCCGATAGTAAAATCCACTAGCCCCGGGCTATCGGACACTACTTTCTTTGCCCGCTGCATGAAAAAAGTTTAAGTAAAATCTTGTACTCATAGTCTTTCTCATCCTTGAATCTAAAGCCCTCTATTGTTGCACCTTTTGAACAGTGTTTTAAAGCTCTTATCTATTGAAATGGGTACCTGGGGCATTATCCAGACGAGTTAACCTGTCATCAAAATGTGGGTGCCTTTTTGCAGAGGTGAAACTTGTTTCATTCAGACTGTGTGTCATTGCAGTGATGTTGCAAAAATCAGGATATGCAAACCTCTCTTGCCCAAATAAAACTATGTAAGGATCCTTGTGGGAAATTATTACCTGACAGGAAACTGCAGAAATTGGGGAAAAAATTTATACACTCCAGCAATGACAAGGACAGCTGAACCTCACTAACAATGAACTACCATACAAACTACCGCTTACACGCTGTATAGGCTCGCCCATTTATAAGTCTCCCCCTCACTTATAAGCCCCCACCCCCCAATTAGTCCATCTACCTACAAGCAAAAAATACATTGGATTATACCCCCCCTTCATTTATTAGCCCCTCTAGATTAATTTATTGAAATAAATTTGATTATTTAAGACATTTTGGAGCTTAATTAAAAACCAATAAGTGCAAAATGTTTTTATTTTGTCAGTTCTGCTATACATGTAGCTTCCATTGGCGCTTTTTCTTTTCCAGTTATGAGCCCCTTTAGGATATGAGCCCCTCCATTTATAAGTCCTCCTAAAACCTGTTCCAGAGATGTATAAGCAGCCCAGGGTTTATCGTACTCAGAGAATTGCATTTTGCTAATTAAAAAACAGAAAAGGAATATTGCTGACCTGTAACAGAAATTTCAAGTAGTGGAACATACCATACGTCCTTTCTCTAACCCTTTCCAATACCACCTGACTGTATACCCTCCTTACAAGGCCCACGAAAGCTATATATAATAATTGATTTAAAATGTCTTCCAATTCTTTGCAGGCTACTGTTGAACATTTGATGTCCATAGTAGTGTTAGTGAATGAGAAGTTCAGACAAGGTGTCCCTCCTTGGGAGGTATTTAATAAAATTTTGAATTAGTTTATCCTAAAAAAAAAATCCTTTAACATGCAAATTTGCAAGGTACAAAGCAAGTCTATGTTTGGCTGCATTTAAGAAATCACTGGATTTCCAGACCTGTATCCAAGTGGGTTATCATAGGAACACTAATTCTTTTCCATAGCTTTTCCATGAAGCTGTTCATGATAAACACTGCTTAGGAGTAAGCATTGGCTTGAAACTCAGTGTTTTTAGGAAAAACATGTATCTAATTTTTTAAAAAATCATCGCACCTTTAAGTACTGTTTAAAAACGAGCAGTAGTGTATTATCAGGTTTAAAAACTTGAGGTGAAATCTCTGATATAAATCAACCTATTCTTGCACTAATAATTTTAGATTTTGGGTTACTTTGGTCTAAAAATTTGGACATAAAGTTTAGCCACGTCTTTATCGGATATAAAGACACTCATTAAACATTAATTTCTTTTTTTTCCTTTATAAATTATTAATGATTTTTTGAATTTGTAGTGGCTGATTGATTGTAACTGTTTATTTTTAATTGTTATACCTTACATGTAACATGAGAGTTTCATGTGAAGGTACTTTTTTATAAAATAATTGTTATATAACAAAATTATCATTTTACCCTTTGTTTAGTCATTCAAGCAACATCCAGAACAGTTTCATGGATTTTTTCAACGCATCATGGACATGAGCTTGGCTGATGAGGAGGTATGTACTATTTTGAACCAGTCATGATTGTTTGCATGGTCGAATCAGAAATGGGATGGTTGGTTATACCAGAAAGAGAAAAGAAACTCTTATTATCATGTTACAGGCTAAATTTTACATATATATACATGTAATTAATACATGTATTGCTAAATTTTTTTATATTTTATTTATTGTTTATGTTTCAGTTAATTTATATTTTTTTACTGCAGTTGATTTTTAATTGTTTTTAAATTTAATTGTATGTTTGCTAATGAATTTGAAATGGTACCATCTGTACAGTGTAACCAATTGATCAAACAGCAGCTTTGTAAGAAAATTGAAAGTAATTTTAGATCGCTTATAGGAAAGTGAACAATGTAGTTTAAGATATCAATATTTTATTGGATCTAAATGTGTTGCTCCCACATCTCCGTCTGCCAAATCATAATCAGGATGTTCAAGTTGTCTAGTTGATTGTCTTGTTTACTGTTATTTTTTCCTTCAGATTCTGTCAATTAGAGAACAGTCAGTCATCTTGGTGTTGTTGATCCATTGCTTTAACAGTTTGGTATGTCACTGTCCTTCATAAATATTCTACATGCATTAATGAAACAACATCTGAACGCACTAAAGATCTCAAAACCGGACCCTAGATATTTTTTTTGTTTAATTGTGCAGTGAGGACATACCATTCAGATTGTTACTACTCTATTCAGCCTACATGTTGTCAAGAATTAAGTATTTTTTATTTGCTTGGAGATAAAAATAAGCATAGCTCAAGTTTAAGATCTAATCAAGCCCTCTGATTAAGTACAAAAATCAATAAAATTAATATACATGTGTTAGGAAATTTTGCCCAGGTTGGTGGGGGGTTCAAGGTGGTCACATTATGCAACAACATTAAATATTTCAGAGATTCTGCATTAAATAATTTATGTTTCCAATGTTAAATGGCCTCAAATGAGCACTAACATCTGTTGCAGTTTTTTTGTTTTTTCAGATTACGCATTTTTTCATTAATTTTGAAATTTTTGTAAAATAATAATGTGATCGATTTGGTTTCAGATCAATCATTACTTGCAAAATTGTGCCATTGTATAATGTCAGGTCTTGAGTAATATTCAGTGATCTCTGATATTTTATCTTACAGAACGTATTGGTGAGGGAACATGTACGGTAGTTAACGCGTTTTTCATAATTTTCAGGAAATGGATCTGATCAGAGAACAACTTCAGCACTTGGTGTCTCTACCAATGTGGATTTGTCTCCTTCCAGTATGTGCTTTTTTAAGTTCAAATAAGATTGCACAGTTGATTTAAAACTGTGGCGAAATCCTTAGACTGTTTGCAATCCCCATTTTCTTTTTAATTGTTGAGATCGATCCTCAAGTTGAGGGGAACGTGTGTAGGAAAGTAAACGTAAGAGAGGGAGAGAGAAGGCAAGCTGACAGTAGGGATTTAGAGTGGGATCGTGTTTGCTATTACGTGTACATCAAGATAGGCGTCTTCCTATCATATCAAGTCGCACAGAAAACTAATAGGAACATGTGAACAGTCTAAGCAGTTTCTCTGATGTTTAGCTAATAAGTATTGATTCATTGGCTTCATTAGGGTGCATCTACTGGCGATGAACGGGATTTTTTATTTGAACTCAGATCGCTTCAATTTTAATTGCCTTGATTTTCGCTCTACCTGTCCGCTGACAGCCATGTATGTGTCAGAATCAATGTTTCCTGTTTTATTCTGATAAAAGTTAACACTTTTCCTATTATGATTACGTACAGTACCTGGTCAAATGTGCATTATTCTGCAGTTTGCTATGCACTACTGGTATAACTTGTGTGCATAATTGTAGTTGTCAAGCAGATTTTTGTGAAATTTATAGTGGCGTAATATTATTTCTTATAATGAAAATATATATATTTATTATACTCTAGGAGCGCCTAGAACAGGAATTAAAAAGTGTTCCAAAGTACAGGAAGTACTGGAATCACATTAAGAAAAAAGAGGGACAGGCAGATGAAGATGTCAAAACAAGGTAAGCGTTACTCGAGAGTAATGTAGAGTACAAAGCTATTGTTATACTGTTAATGTAAGTTGAATTGTGAATGAAGACAAATAGGACAATCAAATAACACTCAAGCAACCAAGTAAAGAAGAAGAGTCCTGCACTACTTGTCAAAAATACATGTCCTAATACATGTAAGTCTTAAATCTCCCCCCCCCTACCTCAGGTGTGTGTGTGTGGGGCGGGGGGTGAGGGCTACTATAGGTCTGTTTGGAACCCTTGGGTAATACCGACCATGTTCAATTGCAATTTTAGTATGTTAGTCTAGTCTTAGTTTCAAGGATCCTTACCCCATCCTAAACTGCGCTGCTGACGAAACGAAGCACTAACGGTGGTTAAGTTAATAACCGAGGTTTGTTTACGTCTGTGACGCAGACTAACCCTATCACTGACAAACTATGAACCAGGAACTTCAATTCTTCAAACCACTGAATATTGTTCCGTATGATACCCCATTCTAGACTAAAATCCTCTTATTCTACACCTTATCTTAGTGAGTGTGAATGTTGGGTTATGGAGGAGCAATACCTCATTACCTTCCATGTCCTGTTACTTTACCACAGCTTTAGGTCCCAGATAGTTCTATCCAAGGTTTGAACAACCAGGGCCAGGTTTATACACGTAGAATGTAATTCGATAAAACAATGACTTGTTGTGCACAACAGTAAATGCATGACGTTGCTGACAGTGCTTGTTTCTCGTTTCTAGAAAGGAAAAAGAGAGGAAGTACTTGTCTAATCTTGTACAAAAGTTTCTCAAAATATTAGAATCTATTCCAGAAACAGGTAATTAATTTTACTACGTACTTCCTGGAAGAAGCTTTTGAAGGTTGTTGAGGAGGCAGCATGGCCGAGCGGTTAGAGCGCTGGACTGGCAATTCGGAGGCCCCAAGTTTAAGTCCCACCCTGACTGCTCGCTGGATTTGTTCACGGTAGTCCCGAGTTCAAATCCTCGACAACGCTGATAAATGGCCATCTGCTTTGCCTCCTACCAGTTGGGATTCTTAACCCCATTGTGTTTGAGTTAAATTATTTGTTTCATGAATTTGCCCGGCCCCACTAGCACCAGTGCTATAAATGCTGTCGAGGGTACCGAAATAACGGATTTTTTAAAAATTAAAATACAACGGTGGAAACATATATTTGAAATGAAACCGCCGCACGGTTAGCTCAGCTGGGCCATGGGAGAGCGCCGGTATGCTCAGCGGGGGATCGTGGGTTCAAATTCCGGCCGGTTCAACGACCAGGGTCTTTAAACAAACTGGTGAGACAGATGATCGTGTCATTGGTGGGGGTTGGGGGGGTGGGACGTTAGCCCGTTGGCCTTGTATTTTTCATCCTTCTTTCATTAGGTAAATCGAAGAGGAAAGGGGGGGGGGGGTAAAAGAACCCATACTAGTGTTGGAAATGAGTACAGGAAGTTTCCCCGGTGGTGTTGTTTACCTTTCACGCATCATTCATGTCATGGTCTATGGGTGGGTTACAGTGAGCTCATAAATGGACTGATAACGGCTGCCAGTGGCGCCCTTGCATGCTGAGGTCCAAGCTTACTGTTAACGTGTTAATACTGTAATGTAAAGAGGCCGCACATTGTTGTATTCTAATCCACGACATTCCATTCCATTCCCAACATTATAAGCCAAAGATTTCAAATAGTGTTAGGTGAACCAGTTGGTTCCCTTATACAAACGTGAAAAAGAATTCATGCTAAGGATTCTATTCGCTTTGTACTCAGAGTGACAAACCTTTCCTGTATAAAAATAATTGCATGCAATGAGTTTTTATTCATCGTCAGTTTAGTGAATGCGATAACACAACAGAAACTGGTAGAAATGAACTTGTGTTTTGTTTTGTTTTAAAGCGTAACTCAAATAGTTACCAACAGTTTATGACAAAAGAATGTTTTAATAATTGCAGGAACTGTTGACATGGAGAAAGCTCACTACTGCGAGAGGTTTTTAGAACTCATGGTTGACTTAGAGGTAACTTACCACGTTTGCAATAGTTAAAACAACCTAGTTTTAGGGGAGATCTTGTTCTTGCTCAAATCTTTTTACCCTTTCTGCTTCGTAACAGGAAGTCTTCAGTCAGCATTCTTTAGTTAGAGGACTTAACAAATTCCCCTAATGTAGGATTTTGTTTGCAAACTCAGTATAACTCTTCCCGTAAGTGCAACAAGGAAACTCAAACATATAACATCCATGGAATACTGATAGCATTCACTGTACTCTACTTTTACATGCAATTTATTTTCTAAAGTGACATGTCACAAATCTAGGATAATCCTTAAAGTATTTCATTCATTTTGTCGCGCAACAGCTAGTAGGGATTGTTCGTAGTGACAACAGGAAAGTCGCGCCCGAATTTCTCCTCTCCTTTTCTCGCGCGCCTGAGTTTCCCTTCCCTTTGGTGTTCTTACGCGTCCGAATTTCTCCTTTCAAATCGATGTTTTCACACGCCCGATTCTCCTCTTTCCCCCTCTTGTTCCCACGCGCCCAAGTTTTCTTTCCCCTTGGTGTTCTTGCGCGCCCGAATCTCTCCTTTCAAATTGCTGTTCTCTCGCGCTCGATTTTCGTCTTTCCCCTTCGCCGTGTTCTCGTGCACCCTGTTTACCTCTTTTCTCGTCAAGTTCTTGGGCGACCGATTATCCTGTTTTTCCCTCGGTGTTTTGGCGCCCCTGATTTCCCACTTCTCTTGAGTGTTCACGCCTGCCCTAATTTCTCCTCTCTTGTTAGTGTTACCGCGCGCCTGGGTTTCGCTTCCCCGTGGTGTTCCCGTGTGGCCCAATTTGTCTTTTACCGTTAGTATTCCCGCGCGTCGGATTTACCCCTTTTCCCTTCGTGTTCGTGCGTGCGCTAATTTCACCTTTCCCTTGGTGATTTTCCCTTTCCTTTTTTTGTTCTCGTGTGCATGCTACTTTCCTTCCTTCTTCGCGGCGCTTTTCTTCCTAGCGTTTTCCCGTGCCCGATTTTCCTCTTTTTTAGATGCGTGTCACGCTTGCTTCGCGGTTAACAAATGTTAACGTACAGTTCCAATATTCTTCGATGAATTACAGTAATTATAGCGAGTACACATTCTAAATGTTCGTTCACTTATTTATGTAGGCCTTGTTGCCAACGAGAAGATTCTTTAATACATTAGTTGATGATCATCATCTTGTGGTAAGTTAAAATTATACACATTGCTTATTTTTATGTCCTTGCGTTTGGAAGTTATCTCCGAGTAACTTTATTTTTCATTCGGTATCGAGTTGAGACTGTTTCAGTACCGTAAATCCTCTATTAAGTCCCCCCATAAGCCCCTCGCTCTTATAAGCCCCCCTTTTCAGGGGAAGAAAGAAAATAAGACCCCCTCCTCTCTTTTAAGCCCCCCTCCAATTCTCCATTATTGTTATTCACAAATAAAAGATTGACTGTATTGATCAACTTCGACTGTAAAACTTTGTGTGGACTGATCCGGGATGGTTTATTCCCCAACTGGATGTTCGGATTTGTTCTTGATCCTCGGCTGCATGACCTTCAACTTATTGTACTGAGCTTTTCCACTTTTTATTCTAGTTCTCTATGTAGAACTGGTACCATTGCCTTTGCCAAATTAAATAAGCCCCCCGCCTCCCTCTCGCAAATAAGCCCTCCGTCTCTGTTACGCCCCTCTCAAGTGTGCTTGAAACTGAAATAAATCCCCCGAAGGGTTTAATAGAGTGTTTGCGGTATATCTTGCACTTTGCAGGTCAAGTGCCATCTTTCAGCATTGGTAAAAAGGGAGTCAGAAGGAAGATTATTTAAACAAGTGAGTAAAGAAAATGATCAACAAACTGCACGCACAACTATACGCTGAAATCTTGGACAGAATAAAATGAAACAGCAAACCTCATTCCCCCGAAATCAAGGAAGCCGCGCGAAACCCAAAACGCACCATTTTCCCTTCCCTGATGTGGGCAGAAGGAGTGGGGGGTCTAACGTTTCAATCTATTTTGTCCAGGAGTGTGTGTGCAATGTACAGTACATACCACGCGGTGATTGCAGGAATTACACGCGTGTAAATTGCGTGCAACATGGCGGATTAATGTCCCCTCGTCCCCCCCCCGCTTCCATAACACACACACACTTGTATGTAGGCCTGTTTGCCGCGTTTGAGATGTGGAAGCCCAATGTAATTCTGTGTACTTCTTTCCAACAGTTATTGGACATGCTGAAATTCTACACTGGCTTTGAAATCAATGATGTTACGGGTAAGAACTTGGTGTACAAATGTGCTTCGGTCTGTGTATTTCACTCTTCCATCCTTCATATAAGCTGTTCATAACCGTCTGTTTTCCCGTATTGGTATTCGATGGACTAAGCATAAATGCTTAGTCGCTCATGACGTCAAACATTTTTATTATTCACAGGCATGGCGTTGACAGATCATGAGATGGTAGACATCCATTACAGCAAAATGGCTTCTCTCCAGGTGCTTTAAATTGATTGTTTGTTCAGCTCTCTTTAAGGAAACTGCGCTCTTGTTGGTCTGCTGTCTCGGTAGCAGACCTGGGCCTTTTCCTTGAAAGATGGTTAAGATTAATCCATGGTTAAGCTAAATTTGGGACTAACATGTGGTATTAGCTATTAGGAAGTTCTGCTTGAGAACGAGTCAGTATTTTAGCGAATAGGCCATTTCCAATTTCACCTGGGCCTCTGTATCAAAACGAGGTTAAGTGCTCGGCCTTTGATATGGAAATGATTTTTCATTCTCATGCAAACAAAACTCATTTTCACAGAAAGGTTGTGCACTTGGCCTCATTTTGAATGTGAGGATTTTTGGAACTCGGAAGTGGCCTATTGCACTATGCGACTGTTTTGTATAGGTTATCGCTTCTTTTATTGGCTCTTACGAGGTTGCACTGGAAGCTAAGTTTAAATTTTTCCCTCAAAACAGTCCCATAGTGCAATTCGACGATATACCGCCCCAGTCTCACTCGCGACCACAAAATGGCCAGTGTCCTTTTTGAGGCCAAAACTTCGAACGTTTAATCTACTTTGTACTCTGTTTATGTGCTTTCCCTTTCCTCTAAACAGTGTCCTTACCATTCCATGCTAGCAGAGGCCACTCACGGTAAGAGAAAAATGAGAGGAAAGATGGAGACCTGTGCCGTTCTCCCGATGCATTCTTGCGTGTAGCCTCCGACCAGATTTGTGTTCAAAACTTACTTGTTTTCAAGAGTGGTTTTGTTTCATGTGGAATGCGCTTGTTTTGTTGGAAATTTCTGAGGCCACAGTTGTTATTGCGCAAACCGGTTCTGTAAGATAAGTCGCTCATGACTAAAACGTCCTTTGCTGGTAAAGGCTGGTTTTCACTAGCGACGAAGTCGGAGTCGTAATCAGAAGCATAGAGCTTATGATCTAGTGAAAACAGCGTTCTGATTCCGACTTACGACTCCGATTTTTGATTTTCACTAGGTCATAAGCGCTCTTACGACGCCTCTAACGACTCCAACTCCGACTCCGTCGCTGGTGAAAACCAGCCTTAAGGAAACGCCAGAGCATTCGCAATAGGAGAAGCGTATGGGGCTGGCAGAGTTCTCTCTCTTTCATCTCCGTTTTCTCTCAAGAGACCTCAGCTAGCAGGGAATCCTCACCAGAATAGTTTACAGCATAATTTACATTTTACCTGTTGTATTCTTACAATGTTTTAGCGAGCTGTGTTCAAGTATTTTCCTGAGCTGCACGGCTTTGCCATGAGTAACATAGCCAGTATAGACACAAGGGAGGCTCTGTTGCAACATTTTGGGTCTCTTTCGTAAGTATCTACCTTAAAGGTATTGTGCCTAATGAGATAAGTAGACTCTGGACTCCAAAATGTTTATTTCGTGCTTATTTGAGTTTGTTTTGCTACAGAAATAAAACTCTCCATGAAGTAGCGTCATATCTGAAGCTGTTGCCAGCCCCTGATGTTGCTGGTGTGGAGGCAAACCGAGAATTTCTCTTGGAAATGCTGGTAAGGATTACTGCATTGGGTGCCCTGTGATTGAGCGCTGGAATAAGAAACCTCCAAAATATTGAGAGGTGCCGTCCTCGGTTGGAACAAGCGCTTCACCCTGAGAAAGGTTTCTTTAATACATGTATTTTCGTATCCTGAGATAGCCTGTGCCAGGCTCTGAGATGGTAGGGACGTCCCGAAAATGACACTATAGGCCCAGGCCCTTGGACACCTTATGAAGTTTACGCAACGTGGTATTCCTTATCGCTTCGGTTTCGAGCACTGCTTATAGTGATTTGGGTTAGGCAATACCGATTAGGGTTAAAGCACTGAAAATAGTGATTAGGGTTAAGCACTGACTCGAAACGGTTGGCTTCTATTTAGGGTTAGGGTTGTTGCTATATACCTTAAATCAAACCAATCCTCGCCAGGTTATTCTCAGTGGCGTAAATGGTAATGATGTAGGTGATGGACTGCAGACAGTACGCTCCAGGTTCGATTCTTACTCAGCCTCCTCTGACTGTTTTCCCTAAAAAATTGAAGAGACTTACACTTTCATGAACATTTGCTGAGCAGAAATTTCAAGGGACTTTCGTCTAAGTGTAGTGTGGAGGCAATAAAGAATACTACGTTGTGTAAAGTTCAAATAGTGTCCAATGGCCTTTCGACGGATGTTATTGAGTGTCTTGTCTCCTCGCAAAGGAACTAGTGATGGCGTCGCGAAATGTCGGCTGTTTTCTTAGGCCAGTATTTCTTCCACCGACTCAGACTCCTGAGCCACGTCCCTTTAAATACTTTTGCAATAGCCAACTTCGTTGTGGAGAGATATGAGGGCTGTTTGAACTGTTTATTTTGATTTCGTTCTTTTGGAATACTCTTCGTATTTTCTGCTTTTTTAAAAATATTTCTAGGTGTCAAGACATGAGCGTCGGCTATCCCAAATTGATGCCATCAACGAAATGCCACTTTATCCTACAGAACAGGTACAACAAATTTGTCTCTAATGAAAAAAAACCTTTATTTTACATAGTGCGTAGTTTATTACTTCCAGTTCTGCTAGCGAACGACTGGCGAAGTAGCTTGTTACAGAGATCTCCAAACTGGAGCGTTAAGCTAGCGTCAACAGAAATTTTGAATTTCCAACTTAGTTCAGTCTACTAGCAAAGCGAGCATAGCCCTCGTTCCTTCCTGTCGCAGGTAAGGATTAAGAATGGTAGCACTATAGGATTTCTCAGTTGTACCCTAGATGTCAGAGGTCCTCTTGCTTAAAAGCACTGAGAAGCGTAAAGAGCGTAGATTGTGTTGCGACTCGCTTTCGCGGCTTTCGCGGCTTTCGCGGCTTCACCCCCAAAAGAGAGGAAAAACGTTTGGCACCCAGAGTATTGACAGGGCTCGTGCAGGTCATGGAAAACCTGGAAAATCATGGAATTTAATTGTCGGTCATGGAAAGTCGTGGAAAATCAAAGTTGTGTTAGATAGATTAGATACTGCGGATGTTAAAGCGTGGACAATGTGAAAAAGAGACTCGAGTAATTAAATGGCGACGATTTTAGTGGACACAAAAGTTTTTGTCGGTTGATCTGAGTTAGGTAAAAAAAATACCCTTAAACAAGAATAGTTTTAAAATATTCGAAGGTGACAGCTAAGTTCCTAAGGTCATGGAAACCTCGAAAAGGTCATGGAAAAAGTCATGGAAACTGAAGAGCTCGAAAGAGTGCGAACCCTATTTGTATATACTTGTAGTACTTTTATACTTATCTCTGACCTAACTCCAACACCCTTCATATTCTAACACAATCCTAAATTCATTACCTTCTCTTTCCAGATTTTGTGGGATGAAAACATCGTTCCAACAGAATATTATTCCTCGGAAGGTATTTGATATTATGGATTGATATATCTATTTTTTCACGGTTTTCGTCTTGTTTATGCTCCGGTTTTTTTTTTTTTTGCTTTCTGCAGACACCCTGGCTCTTCCCAAGCTTAACTTACAGTTTCTGACTTTACATGATTATCTTCTGAGGAATCTGAATCTCTTCAGGCTGGAATCTACGTGTATGTAAAAGATACTTTATAGTTTGTAGTATACTGTATACTTAGAAAATATTTTTTTTTACGGTATATTTTTAGATCTTTAATTGTAAGGCGCATTTGAAAACTGTATAGTTGAATTTGCGCGGTGTAAATAAATGTTATTATTATGTTATTATTATAAATACCTTGCCCAAAGTAACAGAGTACCACTGGAACGTGGTGGTTGGTACCGTTCATTTGAATAATCGCAATGAAGAATTTCTTACACAGACTGAAGAGTTAGATCACAGGAAATTACTGCTAAGTAGCTTTGATTTTTATTGGTAACGTTGTAGAGTTTCAGGCGCGGATCTAGGATAAATACTAACCGATTTCCTAAACGAGCGCCGCGGGCGCAAGCTTCTAGGGGGATCGGGGGGCCTGCTCCCCCGGGAACTGTTTTACGTTTTTCAGTTAAAACTCCCTAAAGTCCCCTTTCCTGGGTTTCCGAGTCTTTCTGGCAGTATATTGGCCGGTTTCATCCACCTTGGATGAAGCGTTGCAACTTGGAAAGTTTTTTTTTAATTGATTTAAAATATATCTTTTATGAAAAATCTGAGCGCGCGATTTCCGTAAAACGGTGGAAACCGGTGGATCTGCGCCTGAGTTTCATTCTTAGACCCTAAACCTGAAACCACACATCATGACAGTACAAAAAGTTTGTCTGTGAGATCACCATGTAGATGAGATGGTTATCACTTTGGCACATTGTAAGGATCCCCGAAATATTCACTATATTTACGTTTGCTCAACAGATGAAATTCGTCAGGACATGGAAGATGTAATCGCAAGAATGAGACCCTGGTATATCAAAAACGAATTTAGATTTGCTATTGTTGATGTGTAAGGTTCAATATGAGCTACAGTATAGCCTGTGTACAGCCACTCCTTCGCCTCATACAAAACCGACTTTGTTTGAGGGGAGGGAGCGGCTGTACACGGGCTATATGAGGTATAATCAGATGGAAACTGCACTTTGGGGGAGGGAGGGAGGGTTGAAGACCACGGTTTTACACGATACAATTTTGTTAGCGTGATTTTTCGGGCAAGCGTGTTGTTCGCCCTACCCCTTATCGGGCTGATCTTTCTCTCTAAAGGAAAACGCCCAGATAAAAACTTTAGCTCAAACATTTTTAAGGCAAAGTTTACCAAATGCTCAAGGTCCAAACACTTGACTTACATTGGTGCTTAGCATTCGCTGAAATAGATCGGAACTCTTCAATAACGATCATATCAATAACATATATTTTGTTTCTTAATAGGCAAAACGAAGTGGGACAAACAGAGTTTGCTGGATGGGCAAGAATGGGCACTGTAAGGCTTAAACGTTCTGATTTTTAATCTGCGGCGTAGCTTAAACTTGCTCAACATTCTGTAAAGAGCAGCTTAGAAACTACGTCACCTAGAGAGTGCGGGCATAATTTTATGCAAATTAGACAGATTACCGTATTTATTCGAATAAGCGCCCAACCTCGAATTAGCGCCCACCTCGAATAAGCTCCCATCCTAAAGGCAGAAAAAGTTAGTAAGCGCCCACCCCCTCCCCTTTCCACTTAAACTCAAATAAGCACCCACAACCAAAACCAACCCCTTCCCCCTTCCACCCCCAAAAAATAAGCACTAATAAGAGACTTCCCCGAAGATGGAGTTTTCTTCGGAGTGTTTTACAGAAACCTTGCTTTGTTACATCTTCGCGTTTTTTTATTACCATTTATTGTTTTGTTGCAAAATAAACATACTACGCTTGCTGAAAATGGTGAAAATTTAATACACGCCCAGCCTTGAATAAGCGCCCACTCTCAAGGTCCAAAAATTAAATAAGCGCCCAGGGCGGTTAATCGAGTAAATACGGTATTCACTTTCCATGTATAGGAGACGTACCTTAGTTGCCGTCGTGTTGTTTCTTTATTTAGAGAAGAAATTTCGCTCCACTTTGTCTCTCTTCACCCAGTTGCATGATATAAGCGGAAAGTTTAATGAAAATATAAAGTTAATCTGGAACTCAACTCTCTTTTTAAACCTCTGTCCATGTTGGTTCACAGATCAAAGCGGAACATTTCATTCGTTTCTGTTCTTCTTCGTTCCTTATTCAAATTAAACAAGCTTTTGTTTTCTTTTTCTCCTTCTTTACTAGAAAATTATCAATTTCAGTGTAATTGAGGTAGGTGAAATTATCTTTTATATGACTGTCAATTATTTTCTCGTCACGCAATGAACTACGTAAAGCGAGCCATGAAGACTATCATAAATCGATTCGAGGTAGACATAAGTTTGTACCCTGCCCGATTTCGGAAAAAAAAAATTTGTTTAGCGGAACTGCCAGGGCAAGCTGGTGAATAAGCGAGGAAAAGTGACAAGTTTCTTTTTTCTTGTCCTATTCTTCTCGTCGGCTCGCGGTTGTGGCCCCGCGCCAAAATTTCTCCACGCCCAATTGAGCCTGCTCGCAGGCTAAAAAGTTTGCCGCTTTTTTCATTGCGTGGTAACGTGATCTTTAACGCGAATAAACTTTAAATTCCATTTATGTTATCAGGTGTCAAAGCCTAATATCGGTGAAACACGCCCATCTCGGGTGCGAGCTGATGTCACCATCAACTTGAACATGAGAGACATTGTGAAAGGAGAGTGGGAAGGTGCGATTATACTTTGTTTGACTTTTTTTACTTTAAATAAAAGAAATAAGTTAGTCTGTGTGATCTAATGGGTGACCAATAAAATTAAGAAATAATTTCACGCGCAAAACGCAAGTGAAATTATTTCCTGGTTTCACAAGTATGCCGTTTGATTAGCTATTGATATCATGACTGACAAAAGCGGTGTGATATTGCTCAAACTCAAACTGTGAATTGATTAGTTAAGTAATGAATTAATTGATCAGTTGATTAAAAAAATGATAACAAGTTTAAATAGGTTTTTCTTGTTGTTGTTAGCCTTAAGGAAACACGATGTGGTATTTCTGGTCACCGTTCGTCCAAATCAGAATGGGCCCATCAAATATGACCGCACAAAACCGTTTAGGGAACAGGTATGACAAATATTTTAAATAGTGAATAATCTATTGAACGTGATTCTGTGACTGGGTAAGTAGTCACTTCTCTAACAACTATGAGGTTAAGCATTTACCACCATTATAGCTTCAACATCAAGACTGCCAGAAAGCTCTCTCTTGGTCCTGGTCTTTCGGTATCCGGGGGAGGGGGGGCGGTGGTTGGTACGTTTGGCAGAAATAAATAGTGATTTCCTTAGCAAATGTGTGACCAGCAGTAACGTCCTTTCACCAAACATGAAAACATGTATAGGGAGGACGTCGTGGTTGGCGTGCTCAGTAGCGGGGAGAACAAGATCAACACGTTGATTTATAGAAGAAACCCGACTGCAATCCTGCCTCCTCCTCAGGCGCGTCGAGTTTCGCACTTTCGTCTTAAACAAAGGCGAGCGCGAAACGCAAGTGACTGGTGACGAAGCGCAAGCGGGGACCTCGCGCAAATTCACATCGAGAGAGAGACGTCTTAGAACAAGGCAGAACCGCGAATCTTTGACATGCAATCTTTCCCTTTTCTTGTATCCCATCCCCGAGGCGGGTTTATTTACGCGCAGTTTGTAAATAATAATTCAAATTTAAATTTTTACAATAACTGAGTGGTTTCTCACTGAATGGTCGATAAGAGTACAGACCATGGAAATGAAGTGATAGTTGCGCAATTTCATTTGCTTTTTTCTTGCTCGCGATTTTCTGCGAAAGTTCAACGGAAATGGACGTCAAAAACTCCTAATATTATTGTAGAAAAAGAAATCGAAAACAATTTTCATGGTCTGTACTCTTACCGACCATAAGGGTAAAAAACTTTGCAATGAAACCACTCGCCTTGAGTTTTGAACATTTTGACGTCATTTCTATGGTCCTTAAGAGTACAGACCATAAAAAACTGTTGTCGATTTGTTAAATTTTGTATCAGATGTTTTGCCCGCAGTTTTGGGAAAGACAACATGGCGATATTGATCCAAAAACCGGCTCGACCAATAGCAGAGCGACAAATTAAACACCGGAAGTCGGGCTTAGTTCTTTCCCGCGCGCTTTCTCATTCTTATCTGACTTTGCGTTGTCTTTACTAAATCTGTCCATAAAGTGATGCAGTCAACTCCCTCTAAGACGGACCTCTTAAGGGTGGGCACGTAGTATCCGTCTTAGAGAGATTTCTGTCTTGAGAGAGTCAAACAGAGGCAGTAAAGAAAGGCGATGACCAGCTCTAAGTGTCCGTTTCACCAAAATGTCCGTCTTTATAGACGTGTCCGTTGAGTGAGAGTTGGTAGTATAATCAACTTTGTAGAGAACTTCTGTGTGAATGTATTGATTCTTGATTGTAGTTTGGAGTTGACTATGTGCGCGGGGCTGAAATAGAAGGGATGTTGGACGAACAAGGAAAAGTCATCGAAGAAGGTGCGAAGAACATATGTTAAAATCGATCAAATGTTGTAGGTTTCTCACTGCCCTTTATTAAGAAGGGGTAAATAACGAGCTTTTACTGAGGGGTGTTTTAATGCTTTTGTTTTTGTTTTTGTGATTTTAAGTATTCCTTGCTAATCTCCATCTCCATCCTTTGTTATGTCCTGCCTGTGAACGTCTGCGTTTTTAATTTATGTTACATACGGGAGCTTAAGCAGCGACGACTGCGGACGGCAACGGCAACGAGAGCGGCTAAAAAGCATTAGGTTAAGATTGGCAAAACAACAACTCTACACGTGCATCGTGCTTTTCTGTACATTTCTTTGCCATGACTGCAAGACTACGACATTAAATTCCTAATTTTACGTTTTCACGGAGGACGGGATCACATGACAACGTTTTTCTTTTTCTTTTTGTGAACTTAGATACACTTCTTTAGAATTCAACTCCTGAAAAAATCGCCAACATTTCACAAATTAAAAGAGTTGCAATAAGAGCGATGAGCAGCAGTGCGAACTCACTTTTTGGGTGACGTTTTTGCTGCCATTGCCGTCTTCGTTGCTAAAGCTCCCTATTTTTAATAGCCTGAGAAAACAGCCGACATTTTGCCTCTCCGTCGGTGGTTTTCTCGCGAAATGACGTCTGAGGAACGAACGCAAAAATTCCATACTGATGACGTGTCACTACGCAGATCTGGGTAGTGCTTCTGACTGAATGAAGCAGATTTCCAACCAATCAGGAGTACTACCCAGATGTGGTTTTCAACCGCCGCTCGGTTAGCTCAATGGGATAAGCGCCGGTCTGCTGAGCGGGAGGCCGTAGGTTCAAACCCCGGCCGGACCAACACTCAGGGTCTTTAAATAACTGAGGAGAAAGTGCTGCCTTTGTAATAACATCTGCAAACGGTTTGACTTTCTAGTCTTCTCGGATAAGGACGATAAACCGTAGGCCCCGTCTCACAAGCCCTTGCACATGTAATTAAAAAATCTGTGGGACGTTAAAGAACCCACACACTCTTCGTAAAGAGTAGGGCACGTAGTGCCCGGTGTAGTGGTCTATATCACTTTCACACTCATGTATGGGGGCATCGTTACTCATTCCTTCATTACTTGTAAACTGCGCCTTAAGCAGTCTGGCAAAGTCCCCCAACCAGTGTTGTAAATTATCCCTGAAAAGCCCTGAGGGGAGTGGATAATATGATGTTTGACTTTGACGTTTGACGTTTGCTAGTGACACGTCATCAGTATGGAATTTCTGCGCTCGTTTCTCAGAAGTCATTTCGCGGGGAAACCAGTGGTGGAGTCGCAAAATTATGGCGTACATTTGCGGACAAAAATAATTGAAAATAAAATACAATTTGAAGTTCAAAAATTAGACTATCCATGTCGAAATCTCGTCATATGAATTTGAAATGGCAATGAACGCAGTCGAAATAGCATCATTCGAACTTGAAGTTACTACTTTGAACAAGTTGAAACTATAAAGGGAAAACTCGACATCGCGGATGTTGAAGTTCAAATCACCATTTCAACTAAAATGTAAATTACATGATTTGAACTTCAATTCACCTTCTCCACTCTAATAAGCTACTTAATCGTCAACAATACAACCATAATCTCCCACAAAATTCCAAATGAAACCTTTAATTTGAACTTAAAGTCACGTCACATATTCGAATTCGAAAAACCAAAATTTCAATTCGAAAGGAAGCGGAAGTAAAAATACACAGGAACCGGAAATAATAAGAGTTTTGCAACACTTTACATACGGGATGTTTGCATAACTGCATTTTGGCGCGAAAAGATTTTCCCTTCACTCGAATACGGGTGACTCTAGGACAATCCAAGAGATTGCGAGGGGCTGTCGTGGCAAACTTAAGAGTGGTTTTCTGTAAAATTTGAACTTCGGCCTGACACGGTACCTCGTCGATTTGGCTGATTTTTGGCATGCAGTCTTAGAATGGTTTCCTAAATACTGAATGCATATGCTAAGGTTTGAATTCTCTTTGGTTCCAAACATACAGGAATGACAGTTTTGACAAGGCCTCGAGGGGCCGCCATGTTGGTGAACTGAAGGACGTTTACGATAATTAATTCTAGCTTTATCATTAAAATAACGTAATCGTGACTCATACAGTGGCAAAGAATTATGCTTCCTCCTTTCATTTACCTACTTTTATCCGAAAATAGTCTAGCCATTATAACGGTTATAACTTCTCATAGCACTTTTACGGTACTTAAAAGGTGCACAAATTTTGTAGAAATAGGAAGGCCAGTATCACCCATGCCACATCGATTTGGAGTAAGCCATTTTCACTAAACATAGTTTTTTTTTATAGATAAGTTAGATTGTTGAATAAAATAATTGGGCAAATGTAACGGAGCAGACCTACAATTGCTTGATTTGAACAGATAAAGCTAGAATTGTCCGCCATATTGACCAGAGAGTTCGATTTCGCGCCAAAATGCAGTTATGCAAACATTCCGTATGTACAGTGTAGCGAAACTCTTATCATTTCCGGTTCCTGTGTATTTTTACTTCCGCTTCCTTTCGAATTGAAATTTTGGTTTTTCGAATTCGAATATGTGACGTGACTTTAAGTTCAAATTAAAGGTTTCATTTGGAATTTTGTGGGAGATTATGGTTGCATTGTTGACGATTAAGTAGCTTATTAGAGTGGAGAAGGTAAATTGAAGTTCAAATCATGTAATTTGCATTTTAGTTGGAATGGTGATTTGAACTTAACATCCCCGATGTCGAGTTTTCCCTTTATAGTTTCAACTTGTTCAAAGTAGTAACTTCAAGTTCGAACGATGCTATTTCGACTGCGTTCATTGCGATTTCAAATTCATATACGACGAGATTTCGACATGGATAGTCTAATTTTTGAACTTCAAATTGTATTTTATTTTCAATTATTTTTGTCCGCAAATGTACGCCATACAAAATGTCCGCTGTTTGCACAGGCTACGTTTTCAACTTCTCTGTTTTTTCGTTCCTTTAAAGCTACGTGCAAACGGGAGCAACAACTCCCAACATTGTCGGGAGTTGTTGCGTTCGTTTTGGCAGTGGTGTGCAAACGGATGCGACAACTCTCAACAACACGCAGCAAGATGCAACAAGGTGTGTAAACGGACGCAACATGTAACATTCAACAATGTTTGGAGTTGTTGGCCAACTATGTTCCGTTCGTTTGCATGGGACTTTACTTAGTAGGGAACTATGCCCTTAACCGTTTGGAACTTGTTATTTACTGATGGCTCTCTTTAGGTCCTGAACCAAAACCCGAATTTAAAGGAGATGAAAGAACGTTCCGCTTGTGGCTTGATACAAATCAATATCAACAGGACATGGCCGAGACTGTACATGGTTCAGAGGCGAGTTGAATTCTCACTAACTGCGTAGTGCCTCCAAAACTAATTAGTCAGAAATTAAGGTTGCTAAAAATAAACATTCTGAGAAAAGAATATTACCATTATTAGGTGTTGCTGAAAAGTTTTCATTTGATTGCTCACACCATAAAATTTTGACAACAAACGTAGAGCGCTTGACTGCAGAGGGGGAGGTCGCGGATTCGATTCCTGGGGCCGGACGAATACTCAGGGTCTTAAAATCTATGAGAAATTAAGGTACCCCCTTTGCAGTGCAAGCGGCTAGACCTTCGCGTGGCTCGGACGACCTCTTAAAATGGCGGTCCGATATCCAGCTGGAGACATGAAAAAAGTGTCCCCCATTACGACTTGCGAACCCGGGACCGCCGGATTGCGAGTCTGACGCCCTGACCACTCGGTCATGCTGTCTCCTTGCTTCTGCTGTTTTTCGTTATTTTGCCCAGTGCCCTCCAATATTATGCACATTTCTTTTATTGGAATACTTAATCAAACTGTTCTCCACAGGATGTGTACGAGACCTTCAACATTCTTTTAAGACGGAAACCAAAAGAGAACAATTTCAAGGTAAGTTTTGATAAAGAAAAACATGAAAATTAACTCCTAGCTAACGTCTGTGTCTAAAGGCCAACATACGTAATATACGCCACTTCCACATTTCCCATAATGCACCCTATTTGCCACTCAAAATTTTGCATAACCTTTGTTTTTTATTTCTCCTGGGTATTACAGCCGTCCCAAGAAAAATTGAGAACAATTGTTATGCCAATTTTTTTTTTTGGGGGGGGTGCATTTTGGGAAATGTGGAAGTGGCGTATACGCATCTTCTGGATGCTACTCACCGAAGACTCTTATCTCGTCTTACACGTGATGAAAGATGTTGTTACCTAGATATATGCCTGCAAACTTGACTTACACCATTTTTGTTCTGTGTAGGCCGTGTTAGAGACCATTCGGGATTTGATGAACACCTCTTGTATTGTCCCTGACTGGTTACACGACATATTTCTCGGTTATGACGACCCAGGTGCGGCCCATTATACCAGGTACGGTTAGAACGTCATTTTCAGACCATTCCATTCAGTATATCAATCTATTATTGTGTTGTAGCCTCTGAATACAGCTGCGTCAGGAACTAATGAGAAGCGGCTGTATTCTGGCTAAATGTGCTGCTAATCTTTCCATAGAATGCCAAACCAGATCCGAAAACTGAATTTCAACGACACTTTTCTTGATTTTGAGCATCTGAAGACGTGTTTTCCGCAATACTCAATAAAAGTAAGTTCATGTTCCTTCGTTTTGGATTTTGTTTTAACGAAGAAAAGGACGGACATTAATAACAGTTTGTCTTCCATGTTTTTAGTGCACAACGGACAATCCCGATGAACAAGTACCACCCTTCATGTAAGGAGTATTTTGAGTATTTCAATGTACTGTTATGTTGTTAAGTGTGAGCCGTACTTGCTACATGCAAAAGGCATACTGTATATGACAAAACAAACCTTTCAGAACTTGAAGCAGAAGCATAAAGCAGATCTCAAGGGCAGAAAAAAAAAATGTGCGACTTACAGTAGTCATGATTTTGCTAGTTTTGACTTCTCCTTATGCTTCGTTGACAACGTAGTGCGCCGTTTTTGCGCCAATCATTAAGAGAAGCTGAAGCTCAGGCACTCCAGGCTCTCCCTGTAAATGTCGGCTATATTCGTTTGAGTTTAGGTCGTTTCTTAACAAACAGTCAAAAACTTTCCATTGTCAGCACTCTTAAGGCTGCTTTTTAACTAGCGACGGAGTCGGAATGGGAAATCAGAAAAATTAAGTGCAAAGCGTTTTGATCTAGTGAAAACAGCGTTTTTATTCCACTTACAACTCCTTAGCGTACGATCTAGTGTAAACTGGGTTGACTGAGTGGAAAGCAGGAAACGGAAGAACTAAAGCAATTGCAAAGTGTGGGGAACGAGCATTGTGATTGGTTTATCCTTCCGCTTGTACATCCAACTGCGACAAATTTGGTTTTCAATAGATCGTAGGGAGCGGAAGAAATTGGAAACGTTCTGATTGTTCCGACGCTGTTCTGTCGTGCTTGTGTATCCGCTTACGACTCTTCGATCTTGGATTTTCTCTTGGTCATAAGCGCGCTTACCAGACTCTGCATATGACTCCATTGCTAATGTAAACCAACCTTTATAGACCGTAGAAATGACGGTAAAATGATCAAAGCTCAGGTCAAGCGGCTTCAATGCAAAGTTTTTCGATGGTATTGTAAATGGCGATGTAGCTGTTGCAGCTTTTGGATCAATTCAGGTTTCCGGGAAACTGCCCACCTACCCCTCCCCTAACCCAACATTTGCCCTAAGTGAGAAGTAAATGGTACTGTTGACTTAGGGAGGGGTAGGTGGGCAGTTTCCCAGAAACCTAAATGATCCCAACTTGTTAGTTAGGGGTATTGTCCCTAAAATTCCAGGAGAGCTGCATTTTAACATGTTGCCCTGAAAAATCATTCCCGGAAACTTGTTTGCAGAAAAGCGGTATCTTATCTTTTCGTCTCCCTTCAGAATAACATTTCCTGAGTCACCGGACAGTAAGAAACGGAAACACGATGAAGGGGATCCAAAAGACACAAAACAGGAGCTTCTAGTGGAACCGTTTGTTGTACCTAACCGTGGACCATATCCCTTCAATCAGCCGAAAAAGTAAGGGCTTGTAATAGATGCTCTAAAATTTGATTTCACAGTGATGGATTTCTTCTAACACGTTGTCTTTCACACTGCGAAGACATAGCCTGCGTGGCTAGCGCTCCCGAGCGAGCGAGACACGAAAGTTAAGAGAGGGGACGCCATTTGTGCGTTGAGTTTGTTGTTGGTTCTCATTCTTGCTCCGAAAGGATTTTCTCCTGGTACTTAGGTTTTATCCTCTCCTGAAAAACCAACACTTTCAAATGTCAATTCGATCTGGAACGCGTGGAAACATTTAAACGAGTTCTCACTATCGTGTCGCGTGGGTAAGCAAACAAACAATAGAAAAAAAGAACAAGGCAGCTGCCGGGTTTTTCTAGCACAGGAACACTTCAGTTCGTAGGCCAGTGGCGAAGTCCGATTTTGCAATTCACGTCTGCCGCTGAAAAAATTCTGCCCTTTCATCCTACAACACGTGCTCTGTTATGCCGAAACATTTGTATCGTGTACTCACAAATGATATGTGTCACTTCGTTTTTTTCCAGGAATGCTGTTCCATTTACTCCAACTCAAGTGGAAGCTATCAGAGCTGGTATGCAGCCTGGACTCACTATGGTACGTTTCTGAGATATTATATAAACGTTTGTTTTGTGGAGGGTTTAGTCAATGATGTTGCTTTGGGGGTAAGGAACGCAAGTGTGATAACTGGTCATCAATTCCTGCACTTTCGTTTAATCCACGGTTGAATCTAATTCAATGAAGCATCCAAGAAACCGACTCTAACTCACTTGGTGGACACGTTTGAGAAGGGAGGGGGTTAATAAAGACTGGGGCTTATTTACCTCAGCGAAATGGGGCGCTATACTGCTTTTCAAACAACCGAAAGGTGGTATCAATTTTCCAGAAATAACTAGAATACAAAGTGAAAAAGCTCAAGCATATGAGTTTGGAGGTGATGCAGACGAAGATCAAAAAGAAATCTGAACTTGCAGCGCATGAATCTGGTGAATAAACCACGCTGGATCAGTCCTCGTGAAGTGCAAATACGGGCTATCATTTATTAATTTGGTTTCAATGAAGGAAGAGGGAAGTGGTGGTGGTGGTTGTGGTGGGCGGGGTGGGGGGCGGTGTTTTGGGGGCTTAATTCCTTTTTCCTGGCCCTGGGCCCCGTTTCTCGAAAGCCCCGATTACTTTTCAGCGCCGAAAACCTGTTTTATGCTTGTCTTGTTTGCATTCAAAATCTAAGTTTCAATAATATTTAAACTATCACTTAACGAAGCAAAATTGGCCGGTTTGTGAGCTAGGAACTGTGCTACTATTCAACAGGTTTCGATTTCAAAATTTGCCTTCGGACCCGAAACGTTACCGGGCCTTTCGAGAAACGGGCCTTGGAAAAGGGAAATAATTCGAGAGGGGTTTTACTAGAGGATTTACGGTATCTTCTGTTAGGTTGTGGGACCTCCTGGAACTGGTAAAACAGATGTGGCTGTGCAAATCATTTCCAATATTTATCATAACTTCCCGGAGCAAAGAACGCTGCTTGTTACTCACTCTAATCAGGTAAGATTATTTTAGCTGTGCAAATTCTCGTTTGGAGGTCAAAGAGTAGAATGAAATTGTGGAACTCTCAAGTTATCTAACTCCTCTTCGCCCCGTTTAAAGTAAAATGTATGACGACTGTATTTACACTTAAGGTCAACGCTACACATATTGGCCACCTTGAGGTTGTGCGGGAGAGCGAGTCGAGAGGGCTGTCAAGTGCATTGTGGGACTGTCTTCAACATGGCGGCAAATTCGTCCCCAAAAAAGTCCCACAATGCACTTTGACAACCATCTTGACCCGGTCTCCCGTGCAACCTCAATTGTGTATCTATAAAGGCACTAAGTAATGACCTTAGCACTGGAAAATATCCTCGTGCCGAAACGCCGGCTTTGTAGGTTCTTTTTTACTTGTTTCTGTTTCACTAAATCGCTGTTGATCAAAACTTCTATTTCAATATTTGTTAAGGCCTTGAATCAACTGTTTGAAAAAATCATGGCCTTGGACATCGAAGAACGTCACTTACTTCGTTTGGGACACGGAGAAGAAGCTCTGGAGACAGAGAAAGATTTTAGCAGGTTTGTAGGCCAAAGTTAAAACTTTCTTGAAATTTCCAATTTCTAATTTGTTCGAGTTACCCGCGTAAAAATGACAGGAAATTAAGGTGAAATCCAAGGGAAATTGGACTTAGTTCGAGTAAGTGGGGAGTTCGAGTTATCGGGGTTCTACTGTAACTCTATTGGATCAAACTGACGAGCTGCTTTTTATCTTTTTATGTAGATTATGTAGATTATAATGTACAGTGTAGGGAAAATTCTTTTGTTCGCTATTTGCTTTAAACGTGATCCTAAATTTCTCCTTCGAGACTCAGGTATCGCTGTAAAGTCTTCGGAAATCGATACTTGACTGTTATCCAGCCTATTGCAAGTGGGAAAAATGTGCCTGTCACTCACAGGAAAACATGTACCTTTACAACCAATAACAGACCTGTGCATTCGCCACCATTAGGTTTCCCTCGAAATGACGTCTGAGGAACGAGCCCAGATAGTCCATGCCGATGACGCGTCACTACCCTGGATCTGGGTATAGTGCTTCTGACTGGATAAAGCAAATTTTTCGACCGATCAGAAGCACAACCCACGTCCGTGCAGTGACGCGTCATCAGTATGGAATTTGTGCGCTTAAATTACATTTCTCGGGGATACCAGTGGTGGTATCGCGAAATGTCCGCTGTTTTCCCAAGTTATTGCATTCAGGCAACCGGTTGCCAACGGTACAAACTTTGTGTAGCGCTGCGGGAAAAACATGCAGCTAGATTCGAGCTCGGGAAAGCATTCAACCTTGGCTTGGTGTCGAACGCACCGGGAAATGCACTTTTTAGCGATAAGTGAGTAATCGTTGTTTTTCTCTTTTCACAAGGTACGGTCGAGTAAACTTTGTTCTTGCGAGCAGGCTTGACTTGTTAAAGGAAGTACAACGCCTCCAGGTTAGTGGGCAGCTATTTTTTGTTCTTTTATATTTTGAACGTCAAAACTTACTTTGATTGGTAGAATTCTATTTGGTAGTGAATGATAGATTGCAAATGTGCCAAGTCACGTTTTCTTTCTTGCTGAGTGTTTTGTTTTGTTTTTTTTTTTAAAGTATACTTTCCGTAATTGGTTTAAGTTAGTAAGAGAGAATTTTCCTTTTATAGCCTCCTGAAAACTACTTTTTTTTAATCAAAACACTCATTCATAGTTTCACGGGAGCCACTTTTTCAAGTTAGTGTATTGCACAAAAGAACCTCGTGATTGACGAAATGGCTGTTTTTTTGCGGAAAATAATTTAGGCGGTAGCAAACACATAATTTAAAAATTTTTGAAATTGTCTAACCTTTTATCTGGCGGCTTATCTCTTTGTAGGAAAGTCTAAACGTTCATGGCGACGTCTCCTATACTTGCGAGACGGCGGGGTATTTTTACCTTTATCAGGTAACGTAAATAAAGCTTCAGTTTCTTTAGTGTACATCAGACTCAAACAAAACTTTTGGAAAATTAAAAAAAATGTTTTATCCGGTGAGTTCCCACCACCAGATAACACCACGGTCAACCCGCAGTCTTTTTAGTTTATTGAGGGAGGGGAGGTCGTGCAGTGGTGGAGCAGGGGAGTAAGGGCAGAAGAGTTTGCACAGGTTTTGGTGCACGAGTAACAAAAGGAAAGGAAGGGGGCGAAGGCGGGTGGATGGGGAGATAGATTTTCTTCCCCTCCCCTTTCCCGACTTCAGTCTTTCTCCTTATGCCCTCCCTGTTGACCGCATTTTCTAGTCTCACCCATCCTCCGCTTTTTTCAGAATTGAACATGGCGACTGCAGGAAATACTGAGCACTTGCTAGTCCCAAAATTGCTCGTGCGCTACCATTCTCGTCCCCAGAGCCCATCGTTTCTTGGTCACGTGGTCTTGAAACGAGGGGCAGGATTGTTAGGACGTTGTCTGTGGCCAATAGCAAGCATTAGTGTGTTAACCTGAGTATCAGGTCTTTCCTACGAGCCAAGGGAGAGTAGATTTGAAAAAGCAAAGAGGGAAGTGGAGGAGAGGGACGTTCCGTCTCTTCGCCGTCCGCCCCCTTTTTTCGCTCTATTAAAGCCTGATGCTCCGGCAAGTGTGATGCTGATGTAACTCGTGCCGATCTGAATTCGTACCGGTCTCTAAGGCGTCTTGTCTCATTTCATGGCGGTGTTAACTTATATTATCGTTGTCTTCTAGGTTGTTTCTCGCTGGGAAGAGTACATGGCAAAGTTAAGAACAAAGGTAACTCTTTGTGCCTGTCGTCTGTAGGTCTGTCCGTCTGTCTGTTAATCTCTGTCGTTTCATAGATATGTAGTTACTCACCAATAGCAATTCGCGTATAATCGTCTTCTCCCAACCTTTCCCCCCGCCCCCTAGCAAGATTTGATATTAGAGAGCTTTAGATTCTAGGACGAGAACGATTACGAGTACGAGATTTGACTGAAAGTTTTATCGCTTATTCTCAAAAAAATATCCAGAAAGCTTCATTGTACTTTTCGTTCATCAAAAAAAGTTAGCACTGTTATCTTATTAAAGGAGGTTAAGCCCCCTCCGGATCGCAAAACGATAAAACTTCCAACATTTGATAACTTGTTTCCGCCACTACGACATTCACGCTAAAACTCGTAGTACAATGACGACGGCTATCACGTTCTCCCACCAAAATGACGCTGGTTCACGAGCGAGCACTACCCGTAGTCGTTCTCGTCCTAAAGGTCCCTATTCTTGAAACTAAGATAGCCGCCCGTTAGAGTAAACACTCGTTATGGACTATCTTTTACAGAACAAGAAAGAAAAGGAAACTGTAAACATTTGTCTGTTGAAAGGTCACATTTATTTAATAATTTCTGCTCGCAACTTTTGATATTGCTTGTAAGTGCGTCACAAACAACACCTCTGAAATATCAAAGTTACCTTTTCTAACTAATAACTAATAATAGTAATAATATCTTAGTGTTACGTGCCACATTCAACAATGTAGCAACGTAGTATTATCTAATAACCAAACACCTGAAAGTCGGCTTAGAAATGTCGGATTTGTCTCGATTTTCAACTCAGTTTTGAGTATTTCGATATTCGATGAAACTTGCTTTTTATAATGTTTAATATATTTTGTCACACAGCATCCGTGTTTATCAATAAATCTCACATTTTGATCTAAAACATTTGGGTCCAAGGCATTTGTATGCTGCCACTGTAGTCTGTAGGTATACTGTACACTTTATTAATCTGAATTTTTACTCTTATTTAGAAAGGAGAGGTTGCTGCCATATCGGAACTTTTCCCTTTTACAAAATTCTTCGAAAATGCACCACAAGTAAGTTTTCAGTCCCACAAACCCGAATTTGAAACCAAGTTAGTTTAAATGACGTTGTTAAATGGTTTGTAATGATTATGCAAGTTTCAGTTTTGTGACGATGCACTTCGTTGATTTCACCTCTCTTTTTCTCCGTAGCCTTTATTCAAAGGACAAACGTGCGAGGAGGATATGGAAATAGCTGAGGTAAGTTTTTCTTTTTTTTTCTGTCATTCAATTTTTGTGACGTTTCTAGGGCTACTTGGAAACGACACTTAAACCCTTACACTGCCAAAGTACATGATGGAGTTTTTTTAGTATGTGGACAAAATCCTGTGGTATTACCATCCAAATGAAACCTCTGCAGTGGTACTTTTACATGGTACTATTATTTTTCAGTATTTCACAAATTGAAACAGAGAATTTTTTGGGGGCGCCTTTGGACAAAAATATGTGGACAAAATCAAATCATGCAGTGTGATCATTCAAATGAAACCTGTTTTGCAGTATTTTCACCTGGTACTTTTTATTTTTCAGCGTTGTACAAAGTGAAATTACTTTGTGCTTCTTTGGCAGTATAAGGTTGATAATCATGTTCAGAGTTTACAAGTTAATTTGTCCCCGATGCCGAAGTTTCCCTTGGACCCATCTTCTAAAAAAGCTTTTTAATATGTGTTTTTCCGAAGGCCGGCAGGCTTTTGTATCATTCACTATTTTCACAGATGCACCTTGTTTCCCCACCCCCGTCCCACCGCCCCCCCCCCAAAAAAAATTTACATAACCATTGTCTCCAATTTGTCCTTGGTATTACGGTAGTCCCAAGAGAAATAGAAGACAATGCAACATTTTAGGGGGTAAACAAGGTGCATTATGGTCTCTGTGAAAATAATGAATGTTTGCTCTACATTTTGCTCAAAACCTTCTTGGCTCAGGAACACGTGTATTGTATAAAATAATTTGTTGTCTTTGTTTGTTTAAAGGGTTGTTACAGATACATTAAGAAGATCTTTCAACAGTTAGAGGTAACAACAGTGTATTTTTGTTTACATCCAGAGTATTTTGTCAAACTGTTCCGTTGTGTTAGACAAAAAGGTGGCGAAAATCTCTCCATCAGGTTTATATCCACTAAACGTTTTAAAACAGAAACCAGCAGAATTTTTTTTCTCCATCAAGCCTCTTGTTACAATTTTAAACTTGTGAAGTTGCACAAGGGTGAATACGCTGTGCGAGGAATACCCCAATCCTCAGAGACCCTGTAGGGGGCAGCTAAGTCGGATGAGATATTAACGTTGCAAGAAGATTCCCTGCTAGCAGAAGTCTCACTCGGCAAGAGAGAGAAAGGAGAGAGACCTCTGAAGGCCTTCGACGCGTTTTTTTGTGTAGCCAGCGACCATATTTGTGGTCGAAACTGACTGGTTTTCAAAACCGGTTTCGTTTTATATGGAGTGCATATGCCATGCTGACTGAGTCGGTGTCAGCTCAAATTGCACCATGGGACTGTTTTGGGGACGCTATCGCTTCTTTTATCTCAAAATCAGGGGTTGGACACCTCATGTTTATTACAGAACGCCATACTCCTCGTAGAGAACCATTTATGCGAGCTTATTGGGCCGATTTTCTAGAAAAGTGGGGAAATCAGAGTAAGAAACTGTTGTGTAAGGAAAAGAGTTTAATACAGGGTTTAGCACCGAGGTTAAGCTCTCTTTTAAAAACGGTTAGGGTTCAAGTCCTACGTACCACCATTTTCTTTCTTCTCTTATTTGATACTTTAAGTCATAAGACTACTATCTATATTTTGAGGGAAGATGACAATCTGATTTTGGGTTATTCACTATAGTCATAACCCTTCTTTCATGGCTGTACCTAGGTTGCCGGAGGAACTGGGACAGATTTCGTCCCCAAAACAATCTCATAGTGCAATTCAACACGAAAAGGACGCAGTCTCACGCGAAATAATCGTATCAGGGTCTCAACATTTTATAGATCCGGCCACCAGTACCGTGCCGATTGATTCGTTGAACTGTCAACGAGTGCTGAGATTGGCCTTAGTAAATTTGGTTTCATCGCACGAATCTCAGTCTAAAACTGTTCTTTATAATTACAGTACCGACGTTAAAAGTCAAACAATAAAGAATTTTGTGTTATTTCGTTAATAAGCACATTTGACTTTTTTTTGTTTGTTTTTGTAGGAGTTTCGAGCATTTGAACTTCTTCGTAGCGGTAAGTGTGTTTTGGATTCTATGTAGTGTTTCTACCTGACTTTTTTAACGAAGTCTTTCTTGCAATTGACTGAAGATGATATGAACTGCTGAAATATAAATCTAAAGAAAGATATGACCTTCTCGTTGGCGATAAATAATTACTACTGGGATGGTCGTTTCTTCATTTAGATCCTTAGTTTAAAGTTTGAAAGGCGTCAAGGCAATTTAACATTCGACAGATCAAGTTTTGCTCTTTGCGTTCGTTTGGTTTCCATATTCATTTTTAAACTAATTTTTGGAGCGTCCAAACGTATGCAAACAGTTAGCCTGTACACAGACGTTGTTATATTTTTCTTTTCGTTCTTCGTACCTTTCGAAAACCCGAAAACATTGCGGCGGTCAATGAATCCCCCGGGTTTTTTTTATTTCCTATCACGCTCGCTCGGCGGACTTTGAAGAGAAAATAGAGGGTCTGTGAACATGCCAGCAAACAGTTGTAATTGTTTTTCAGCTAATAATTTATTGCCAATAGATTTGTTTCTAGTGTAATTCATCTGCGGGCGTCACAAGACATGTGGTATGCAATGATTGGGAATTTAAGTCCTTTCCTTGCTGTATCATTGGAGAAACATGCTAAACCTATTGCAGAGTTGGCTCTCTGTGGCTTGTGTACGACAAAAGCCTTGTTCCTCTTTCTTTCTTTCTTCCTTCCTTCCCTTCTTATTTTATTTTCCTTTTTTAATCACAGGACGCGACAGAACAAACTATCTTTTGGTGAAAGAAGCTAAGATCATTGCTATGACGTGTACTCATGCAGCTCTCAAGAGACGAGATCTAGTTGAGCTCGGATTTAAGGCAAGTTGTGACAGTGGTCTGCTAATGCCTTTGTAGTGTACAGTTTTCTTGCAGTTCATTGATTCAAAAAACGGTGGTTGCTTACTTCAGAGTAAATTGTAAATGTCTTATTATCCACTCCCCTCAGGGCTTTTCAGGGATAATTTACAACACTGGTTGGGGGACTTTGCCAGACTGCTTAAGGTGCAGTTTACAAGTAATGAAGGAATGGGTAATGATGCCCCCATACATGAGTGTGAAAGTGAGATAGACCACTACACCGGGAACTACGTACACTACTCTTTACGAAGAGTGTGTGGGTTCTTTAACGTCCCACAGATTATGATGGTTGCTTACTGAATGTGAATAACTCTTAGACGTGCGCCACCAATATTACGCCAATAACGCTCCAACGTAGATTCGTGATCTTACCCCCAACTGCGTGTAATTATCCACCAATATATTACAACTGGCGTTTTTTGCACCAATCTACAAGCGAGATATTATTTTTAATAATTGTGGCAAATTAGGCATAACTAAAGATATTTCTGTTCTTAGTATGACAATGTTTTGATGGAGGAGGCAGCACAAATCTTAGAGATTGAGACGTTCATTCCACTTTTGCTCCAGGTAGGCTAGGTCACCATTCTCTCATTTTTTGCCACATTGTTTTATGGTATTTTTCCACAAATACATGTACATCTATTGGGTGATAAACCTTCTTGTCTCTCTTGTTAGAATAGACAAGTGTTTTTAGCATCAGTGAAAGTCAAACCACTAGCAGCTTAAAATGAAAGAGAGCCCGTAGGGCACTTTTAAGTAACATCTCACAAATTACGATAGTTGCAATAGAGCGTTTTTACTCACGTGGCCAGCATCTATGCTAATTTATTGGAACAACAAGAAAACATTTACATGGGAAAAGAGGTCAACTCCCCAAAGATTTTGTGGGTACACCATCATGGCCGCCGTTTCATTGTTTTGGAACACCAATAAGGCCGCCGTGACGTCATGTGAAAACGCTCTGTAGAATGGAATATATCTGGAAATAAATCAAGATGACATAGCGGTAGCTCTTTAAAAAATACCAGGCCAGCTATTTTGTTAGACATTTATCGTGTGATATATGTAAGGTCGAGGCAGCGTGGCCGAGCGGTTAGAACGCTGAACTTGTAATCCGACGGCCCCCAGTTCAAGTTCAAATCCTAGACCAATAACCATCCACAAGGGCAAAGGATAATAAGTATTTGTTATTATTACAATTTAGTCTTAAGTTACAATACGATTGAGCTTGAAAATAGTTTTTTAATCGAAATTGTAATTAGTGCTTTGACTGAATAGTTTTTTTAAAAAAAAAACAAATTAATGGTAAATAGATTTTAATAGTTAGTGTTGTTGTCAATGAAGGATATTTTATGAAAAACATACTATTATCATTATCATTATTATCACTATTACTATTATTATTGTTATTATTATTATTATTATTATGATCATTATACAAGATGAATGTTTGTACAAAAATAGACGTGTTTAGAAGTTTCAACTAGTTGTCACCATTGTAAATGAACACCTGTAGACGAAATTTTATCTTGCATTGTCAAACAGACAGTAAAGAGTCATGTAAATGTTATTCACGCAAATGAATGAGAGACCATTTTTTTTATCATGGTTAGAACAGATAAAAGAGATCACCATTATTGTTTATGTGGTCATGCTTAAGTTTGGCGACTTCTGTATTCTAATAGAAATTTACTATTCTTTTTTTACTGATTTGCTAAACGATTTTTCTTTGCTTTCACCGGTACGTAGAATCCTGAAGATGGATACAATCGAATGAAGAGGGTCATTCTAATTGGTGATCATCACCAGGTTGGTTCGCTGTATTTTTTTTGTTCTATTGTAGGGAGAAACCCGAACCTTGACACACCCTCTTTAACGTCGTTCCGTCATGCATAAAGAAACGCCACATTGGTGTCCTTAAACGGCGGCCATGTTGGTGTCCCAAACCAGTCCTTTGGGAGTTAAACATTTCTCTTATGTAAACGGTTGACATGCAACGTTTAAAAATCTCTTCTTTCATTGGTCCCCTTTAATCTACACTTCCATTGTTTTCAAGGATAGGGGTATTGTTGTGTCACAATCCCTATTGTTTTCCTAGCCAATCACAGACAATCTCTCAAATAGTTGAAGATCGCCCCTATGTAAAACCTTTCGTATGGTCCAATAAATTGGCATAGTTGCTGGCCGCGTGGGTGAAAACTCGTAAGCGAAAGTCGATGTTTTTGTCTATCAAAACACCCACAGTTTGTTTGTTTGTTTGTTTTAATTGACTAGTGTCGCATGCAATTTTACTTCGCGGACTGCTTATAACTGAACTGAACGCTGGTGACTGACTCACTGACATGATGATACATGAATTTGTGTTTTTGTTTCATCGTAGTTACCTCCTGTGATAAAGAATATGGCGTTCCAGAAGTTTTCCAACATGGAACAATCTCTGTTCACTAGATTTGTTCGGCTTGGTGTTCCTACAGTTGAACTCGATGCTCAGGGCCGAGCAAGATCTGGGTACTGATATACAGTCGTATTTCCTAACGTTACTTCGCTTTCTTTTGCTCTTTCCTTTGGTATTAAAGGGAACCTCCACTTCAACAAAAAGATAACTTTAAATCACAGGAAATAATTGTTACAGTCAAGTCAATCTAAAATATTTTTAAAGAAAGCGTTTGTATCCGAGAGAAATAACTTTTAGATTCGCCTATTTTTGTTTTCAAATTTTGCTGGCGTCGCCATCTTGAATAATTGTGACGTGTTACGGTTGCCCTATTGTTATTAAACAAAAGCTCTTTGTGTCAGAACAATAGAGCAACCGTAACACGTCACAATTATTCAAGATGGCGGCGCCCGCGAAATTTGAAAGTGAAAAAAAGCGATTTTAAAATTCACTTTTCCTGATATAAACACCTTTTTTAAGGACAAATTTCGAACAAATTTGTTTATCAACATAATTTTATTCGATTTAAACTTATTCTGTAGTAAGAGTGGAGGATCCCTTTAAAGGGGCCATGTAAACAGTGAGAAATGTCACCAAGTTGAGGGAAACGAAAAACTAACTGATAAGTACTTAAATAGTATGCATATATAACACAGCTATTACAAAAGGTGTGGATGGACAAAGTTCGAGAAGATTGAAACGGATTGCAATTATGAATTTTTTTTAAAAGTTGTCGGTCTAAGAGTTTTTTTCAAAGTTCATTTTTGTTGTTTGTAACGTGTTATATATTGCTTGGGAGACATATTTGTTGGACACAAAGCTCTGATCTTGTCATTCACACGAATAAGGATCCGTTAAATAAATTAGGTAGCCGTGACAAAAAAAAAAAATGTGTGAAGGAAAATGTATTTTGTTAGCTTTGCCCAATAAGGATTTTGAATCACTGACTGGGTTAAATTTCAAACAATTTATCGTTATTTCTTTGGGTGTGTTATCCACGATGACGTTAGCCTGATAGCTGGTGGTTTTGTCTGGCAAAGCGCGCGCAAACGAGCCAAACCGCCAGGTACGCAGGTTACGATGACATCACCGACAACGAAGGCGTTGAGGATAATTATAGGAGGTCTTGGTAGGACTGTATTGATTTAATGTATCCACTCTTCGCGACTTGTAGCTTATGTAGCCTCTACAACTGGCGTTACACCAAGCTTGGCGATCTTCCTCATGTTCAGACGTGGCCCGAGTACTGTGTGGAGAATCCAGGTTTCTTTTTTGACTACCAGCTCATTGATGTACCCGATTTTAACGGAGTGGGAGAGTCGGAGCCAAATCCTTACTTTTACCAGGTACAAAAGTATTTGGTGGTTTCTTGGTGTTGCGGACACCAATGACGTAATACAAAAGATTGAAAAGACACTGAACAATACCCACACCACAACACAAAAGCTAACAAACAATAGTTTCCGCAACACCAAGAAACACCCAAGTATTTCGACAAATATCTTTGTTTTGCGGCTTGTCACGGCAGATAAGCTTACTGTCTTGCCAAGAAGCCGTCACTCTAGCAGTCTTTCGACTTATTTTATAACTTAGGGTGCGGTTCTTTGTGCTAAAATCCGAGATTTGATCAAAAATTCGAATATTCGGATTCGAATTTTTCGGTTGGAAAAGAAACAATTCATCTAAAACCGGATTATTTTCTATTCTTATCCATTGAAACTACTCACAATATAACTGGATTTCGGCGAAAGAATTACACGGCCGTAGATAATGATTCGAGTTACTGATCTTTCGTTGTTTAGCTAAAGGATGTATCTTTAGACGGACCGCCTGAAAACGAGTCTTGCAATATGCAGTGGAAGAGAAGTGTCTTGCTAGAGGCCCTGCCAAATTTGTGTAGTGGTTTTGATCTTCTAAGCTAGTTAAATGTTAGTCCTGTTTATCGCTCGATTAGCACTTTTAAAATTCATCGTTTAATCCATGTTTGGGGTTTCAAAGTGGCGGCAACGATGAGCAGCATAGTCAAATAGGTGATAGACACGTTGAACTTGATGATACAATCTCTCTTTTAAGATCCGGGGCACAGAAATGCTTCGGATCATGTTCCCAAAGAACCCGGTGTTAGGTAAGATCCAAATAATCCACCTTCTGCGTAAGTCATTTGGATCGATAATCCTGTTATTTGGATTTCAGTGAAGAAGCAAATATCCGTTTTCGAATTTGGCTTACTGAAAGGAAACGCACCCTGAAGTCAGTAAAACCATTATTACTGAAACAGTTTCTTCATTTTTTGTCTTGTTTGTTCTTGTAGAATCTCGGCGAAGCTGAATACGCAGTCGCGATTTTCATGTACATGCGCCTTATTGGGTATCCCGCTGACAAGATCGCCATTTTAACGACGTACAACGGACAGAAACATCTTATTAGAGACGTCATCAAACAGAGATGCGCGAACAATCCGCTGATTGGACAGCCGAGCAAGGTAACTTGGAATCATTTTGTGGTTGCGTTGTGAGGTATTGAGTGACCCAGTTAGTAGTTTTGTTGCCAATAACAAGAGTGAATCCTGGCATTCACCTTATGAAAAATTTTAAGCTCACGTCCAGAACCTGTGAGTCCCAGTCAAAACCCAATGCATGATTCCTTAATTTTCATTAAGGAAAATGTTTAAACCTCAAGGTAGCTAGGCATTTAATCTGAAGTGCATTTGTTAATAGCAAAGTCTGTATTACAGTGTACTGAAACTGAAATACAGTCTATTGTTCAAGCACAACAAAACTAAATTATATATGCATCGTTTTCCGTAATAACAACAATATTTTAATTGCACTCTCAGTAACTGCCCATTACAATGTAGGTTCGTAGCGTGAAGTAAGTTTAAACGGCCACCAAGTGAGTTTTATGACAGACAAAAATCATACAAACAGGAAATTCTACAAAAACAACCTTTACATCAAGCGATCCATCTGCCCTGCTGGACACGTGCCGTGAATTCTTTTACTTCGTTGGGGATTTTAATGGATCAGAGATGCAGGACGAAAGGTTAACAAAATCACTATTCGGGCGTTACCGCATTTCTAAATAAGTCCCGAAGGAGAGTAAGGGTAACAACCAGTTAGTTTACATACAGCGTGTTCTAACTTCTACAGTGTACCCTAGTCTGCTACACAGCCGTTCTTTGTCGTCACGCAACGCTCCTGCCCACAAGCGTTGCGTGACGACACGAAGAACTGCTTTGCAGCAATACAGCTTTCACTAGAAACTTTGTAGCTAAAGCCTGTTTTCAACCGCTTTGTTATGATCAGGTGACCACGGTGGATCGGTACCAGGGTCAACAGAATGATTACATAATCTTATCGCTTGTTCGCACCAAGACTGTGGGTCACATCAGAGACGTCCGCCGATTGGTTGTTGCCATGTCACGTGCCCGCCTTGGACTGTATGTACTAGCACGTGTCAGCTTATTTCAGAACTGCTTTGAACTCAGACCTGCCTTCTCTCAGGTAAAGAATACTAGGCAGAATGATGAGCCTTCTCGCTAGCCTTTGCTGTGCTTGCTCTCTAGAACCATTTCATTTTATTTAGCTCTTACATCAGGAGACCTTTTTTTGGCTTTTGCCAATTTGTTCAGCACATCTGTGGTATACTGAATGATAACTTTCATCTTAGCCTGAGATCACTCCCTCTCTCTCCCTAATTTCTAGCGCTCCTCCTAGAAAGAATTCTTTTCCTCTCTTCTCCGTTCCCGCCCCGTAAAAGCATAATAACAACAGTAAGAATGAAATGAAAAGCCTAATCGTTGGTCATTATTGTCGAACTTCAATTTACGACGAAAAAGCAAACGTGAAGGAAGTTTGTAAAGTTGATTTTGATTTCCACGATCTTTTTCTCAAGTATTGATGCTCCTTTTGGAGGTTTTTTAACACTCTAGGAGTAATTTATTTCAGGACCCGGACATCAAAAACTGCCCCCGCAACCGACCCCCCCCCCCCCCCCTCTCGAAAAATTAAGGCATAAGCGAATTTTAAAGTGTTTTTGAAAAACTTTGAAACACTCCTCGTGTATATATTTAGTTGACCAGTAGACCACTGAAGCTTTACCTGGCGCCCAGTGAGAGATATCCACCATGCAGACCGGTGAGTTTCACTATTCATGTCGTCATTTCAGTAAAGTATTAAAATTACTGCATAATAATGAAGTTTTAGTAGCTGTATAGACGAATCAGAACCACCTTTAACATAGCAGTGGCACTTGAACATACTACTCAGAAGCTTTCGTTGCACTTAACAATTCTCTCTTTATTGATTAACAACGTCCACAGTCCCCTATTTTTTCGTGAGATGATCGAGGTCGATCGTCAAATTCGGGAGGCCGCCGCCTTGTTTTCCCATGGTCATTGTTCGATTTCTCACCCTATTTCCACAAATTATTTACACTTTCTTAAGGCTTCCCTCGCAGCGTCAAATTAATATGGCCGCTCTTCATTAAATAATTTATTAATTTTTCTTCCTTTTTCGTGAATTTTATCAATGTTGTTTTTCTTTTTAAGCGCGGAGCTCCCCCTGCAGAAGCACCTCTCGTTGTTGAAGACATGCCTCAAATGCATCGCTTCGTGTTTGATTTCTATAGTCATTATGTTCAGTCTTTGAGAGCCCAACAAGAGGTGAGTTAGACTGTCGCTCTTAAACCAATTGAAATCATCAATTTAAACAAAATAGACGCAGTTTTCCTGTTTTATGGAAAAAAGTGCTGCTTTTCAACACTTCAGCCCGTTTGAACGGTGCATCATCATCACACGTTGGTACCCACTTCAATCTCTTTTTCTTATTAACTCCCCCAGTCGGCGTTGACCAAATTTGAGAGAATTGATATTATTTTATGATTGACGTCAATTGTCCAATAGTAGACTGAAACAGGGTCTGACTGACATTACGCATAAACAGAGGCGCGGTGGCTCAGCTGTTTTGGTAATAAAATGGATTCATCACAGTTTTGGACGATGTTGGACCAACTTGGTGGTGTCGTTTAAATGGGCTGCATTTACACTGAAATAACTCTTGAATGAATGCAAAAGCCCAGTAAAAGGTCGCCTGCCTTGCGCACGTAAGGATATCTGTCCGCTGTGACGTTGGTTTGCCTATTTAATTTTTAGTACATGGCCAGTATTCCGAAGCCGCCGGAGGAAGAAAAGACGAGCAAAGAGGCTGAAGAAACTGAGAACGGACAGGAGATAGGAGACAAAGACACTGAAGTTTCAAATGAAGTTGAAGAAGAACAAGGGTCTCCAATTGTGAACGAAGTTGAGGAGATGGAAGCAGATGACAAGTGAAACTGTTGTTTGGATTAACTCCAGTTAGTTGTAAATTATGGAAACGCCAGTTTTGTTTCTACAAACATAGTAAACTGAGCTGCTACTCTGTTGATACCAAGAAACGTCACAGAAGTCTACAGGACTGGCACGTACATCGCTGAGCGTCTGTGGTCGGCAAGCATCGGAAGGGACGCCTTAAATTCGAATAGGAGTTGTTTCTTAGAAAAAAAACGTTGGTATTTGTTAGCCTTTTAAGTGAAAAACGACAGAATCGCTTTTCTGTTTACACTTAGTGTGTATTTTTTTTTTTTTTCAAATGAACGCGTACTCCTGTTCTGCCTCGAACCCAGACTAGGGTTCTACACATTGTGCCACGAAATATTGTTTAATGATGTTTTTGATAAAAAAAGAAAGGTTATTTAGCTCATAAAAAGTTACATGTGAGTTGAACATAGTAAAAAAAAATCATTTTTGCAAAGGGGTTAACCCATGATCCTGGTCATGATCCTTGTTTTTCTTAAAAAGAGCAAGAAATACAGGGTTCGAACGCACTTTGAAAGTCCTTGAATTACAAAATAAAAATTCAAGGCCGTGAAAGTCCTTGAAAATTGCAGTTGGTGCTAAAAAGGCCTTGAATTCAATAGTTTAAGTAGAACTCCAAAGAGAAAGAAGCAAACACAGAAAGACCCTCGGAATAAAGTTACTCATGTTGTGGAAGGAGTGAAATACACATTATAAGGTCTCGGTAAATGAAAATTTTAGTACATTGCTCGATTTTGTTTTTTTTTTATTTTTGGCATGAGTGGGTCCTAAATTTTATTTTGGCAGAAAAAGAAAATCAGAAAGTGCTTTTTAACCCTTCTAAAATGAGCCTTTTCTGAGCTAACCAGCCAAGCGTGGACCTCGCGCTAAATCTTTAGAGCTGATTTTCTCTCACTCTATTTTAGACGCAAAAATCAAAATTCTCCGACCTCCAGTCGGGACAGGTTTTAAGCTATCGCTTTGAAACTTTCAGATATGATGGATAATGATATAGACTCAAAAAGGGTGTGAGGAATTTTCCGATTTCCCTTTGTAACTCATTTTATGCCAGTTTCTTTGCGTAAATCGCGCTCGATATTAGACTTTTTAGTTTGAAATGCAATAATTCCGCTAATACGAGACATATGCAAATTTCCTCACACTCTTTTTTAGGTCTTTTGTCTGTCAATCAGATGCAAAAAAAAGGAAGTGAATATTTAACAACGCGAAAGGGCTGGAGCTTCAGCAGTAAACTCGATACCTCTGAGTTCGAGAGCAAAAAACTTACGCGCCTTTTGAAATTCGATGAAAGAAAATATTTTATAAGGTAATTTAGTCTTTTAGCTTTAATTTGATATATAACTTGCCTTTGTAGCGAAAATACTGGCGCGACTAGATTTTTTTTCTGTGGGCACCTCGTTTTCCTTTACCGAGACCTCAAGTGATCGCTCGTAAATTTGTCTCTCCAAATATTCACTCTTAAATTTTCGCTCATAAACTAGTGCATCGTAAAGGTTGGGGAAAAAGCTATAATCTTTCTCTTGACTGTCCTCCATGCCTCGTGCTTTTCAAAATGGCGGATAAGATTTCAATGAGCCAGCGATATATCTCAGTCAGCGATATATCCCTAACCATGTAACGTTGAAAAAACGACAGAAACCGTCTGCATTTTAAGACCGGTGCCAGCCTTCGGCTGGGCCCCGGTAATTATTGAAATGGTTGCTAGGTGTAAATAAATACTGCAGCAACAATGCATGTAGGGCTGAAAGAGGAAAATTCCCAATAAAAATGGAAGCACAATATAGGAATTTTAAGTTTTGGCTAATTCTAACCAAACACCCAAAACACAAATTATCACAGGTGGTTTATAATGATATGAAGTCGAGGATGAATAAGGAATTATGGAGCCAAAAACTCAAACGCGTATTAGACCAAATAAGGCTGGGATACCTCTGGACAAAAGCACATGAAAGTGGCATAGGAATCTTGAACATTATCAAACAAAGACTGAAAGACATCGAATTACAAAGATGGTTAAGTGACGTAAACAATGACGTAAGAAAAGACGCCAACCAAAAGAACAAACTAAGAACCTTCCAAAAAAATTAAAACAATAGACAATTATGTCTAAAGATGTCAAACATCTTACAGTCTTACTGTTCGTGAGTCTTTTTTTTTTTCTTTTTCCCTTTTTCATTTTGTTTCCATTTATCTATTTACTAATTCCTTGTTTTTTCTAGCTTTAGTGCCAACCTACCTCCTATGCCTGAACATTATTTAGCTTTACTCAGCTCGATTAGCTTTTTAGTTATTCTGAGTAAATGTTACCTTTTTTTGTATTAATATATTATATTGTAAATTAAGTTAACTTTTATTTGGTAATAAAGCTTATGTTGTTGTTGTTGTATAAATGTGAAGATTATCTCCGTCAGGTCACCAACAGCCGACACCGGATAACTCTAACTAAACAACGTCTAAGTAATCACAAATTGGCGACAGAGACAGGTCGGTATGTAAGACGTTATAAGAAACCGGAAGAGAGGATCTGTCCTATCTGCAAAAAAGACGTAGAAGATGAAATACACTTTTTAACTCTGTGCCCTGCGTAGCAAGAAAAAAGAAGTACTTTGTTTGAATACTTAAAGAAAGAATACAGAATATCAGTGAACAGAATGACACCAGATGATGTTTTTCTGTTGTTAATAAACCCTCCGAGCAAGAACAAACAAGTGCAAAAGTTAATTGCAAAATACGTATTCGACCGCGATGAGAAAAGAAGATCATTAGTTCTTTCGGTTAACATTGATTATAGTTCCTTTAGTGTGCAATTTGTGTTATGATTTTAAATTATTTGGATAAAGTCGATGTACATAGGACTGTATAAGACTCCAAATAAAGCATTGTCTTGTCTTGTCTTGTCTATGTTGTCCCGGGGGGGACGGGGACCCCGCATATGAAGGGGGTGGGGATGCTCGTTGAAAATTTTGAATTAAACCCCTAAAGGAGACCGATCTGGGCGGGGCCCAAGCTTTTTTTGACCCCTAAGATACCCAGTTAAAACACAGACAATATATATTTTTCGCGCGCAACCCTAAACGAGACCTTCACGGCTATGACGTTTTGCCCAGAGCACCCTAAGTGAGACCAAAATCCGAAATTTATACCCCTAAGCGAGTCGAAAAGCATCCCCACTCCTTTTATATTGCCCCCCCCGGATGTTGTCGTCCTAATTCAACGCTTACGGCCACGCTGGCTATCCGATGTCAGTTTCATATCGTTAGACGATTTGTTTGTTGATGCAGAGCTGTCACGTTATTAAATTGGGGGCGTAAATGGAAAACAAGGGTCTCCGCTGCAGGCGCCTCCCTCGCGCATCCTCGAGATTTCTTCCTTCGCCCTAAAAAACAAACCAGGTAAAGTCCTCGGTATTACGAAAGATTTTCTTTGTCTCAGTAATAGTAAAATGTACGAAAAAGAACCTCGATATAACGAAACCTCGTCATAGCAACAAATTTTGCCAGTCCCTTGGCCTCTCGTTACATCGAGGTTCCACTGTTGTCGAGTGCTCCCCCTCCCCTTCCCCCTCCCCCACCGGGATGTAGATACACACTTTTTTCAGTCAGGGTAGAGATCGAGTCACGCGTGACGGGACAGATTTTATTGTGTATCGGAAATGCTAGAAAAATAATACGTGACTTGACAAACAATGAGTTTGTGAGCTTTATTGTGCTTCTCTTTTCGTCTTGTTTGTTTAGAGCTTGTGCTATTTGATCTCTTGCCATTGAGGTGTTACCTACTTTATGTTTATACACAATTTGTCAATTTCAAAAATGAAAAAAATAAGTGTTTTAAAAAACGTATATCGTCAAATCGTGTAGCTCTTGGGAGTATCACCACAGGCAGCCCAAACTCACGTTATTTTGGAAAGGGTGTAAGGTAATTTACATACCATAGCTGACGCGTGACCTGTGAGCTGGACGCCCAGGTAACATTACAGGCAACCGTTGTTTTGGTAATTGCTCGTCGTTTCCTGGATTTTTTGGTGAAAACACAGTGGAATACATCGCAGGTAAGTCGTTTTATTCATTTCATTCAAGGAAAATTAGATTTAAAGTTATTTAGCATTCGTAGATAGTATTTTATTTCTCATACAAAGTTTCTGTACGTCCAGCACAGCGCGTCCAGCACAGTCAGCACAGGTCACGCGTCACCAATAGTCTGTAAATTACTTTACACCCTTTCCCCAATAACGTGAGTTTGGGCCACCTGTGGTATCCCAAGAGTTAAGGGGGAGTTACTATAGAAATTTTTGAGTGGGGATGTGCTGCTGGGACCCTGAAACCCTTAGCCTATACCAGAACTAGTTCAGCTGTTTTTTGCGACCTTTTACTAGGCTAAACTCCCCAAATCCCTCCTATCCTAGAGTAGCTTTTACTGGCTGAGTTGCGTTACTTTAAACTTGCCGATTTGATTTTTTTACATTTTTGAGAGGCAATTCCCGGTTTTCCTAGTCTAGACTAAAATCTTCAACCAATTGACCCGGGCCAATTGATCACTTTCCTGGAAAAAGATACCCTTTTCTAGACCCAAACTCTCTGATTTATATACCCTATTCCAGAGTAAACTGCTTGAAAACCATATCCTTCACAGCGGCACATTCTGGGCGCGATCCATTCAACCAAAATTCCAACCGGTCCGACAGGGAAAATTGATCCACCTCAAAAGGTGGACCCGTTTTTTCGAAACTTTTCCGGTTGGACCGAACCGATCCATTGAGTTTTGGACCGAAATTTCCGGAAATTTTGGTTGAATGGATCGCGCCCACTATCCCACATATTGCAGTACCCCTCGCCCCCCGCCCGAGCCAAGAGTTTTCACCATTTATCGATGTTACCTCGCAGACACTAGAGGCCGTCGATAAAACCAGGAACACGGAACATGCCGGAACATGCCGGAACATTCCAGAACATCCCGGAACATCCCGGAACATGAAAAAATAAAAATAATTTTCATGAAAAAAAAATATAATGAAATAACAATAATAAAATATTTTTTGTAAAAATTAATAATAACGT